CACCCGGCCGGAAGACAGCAGCGGGACAGCGATCTGGTTTCGTGTTAACCTCGTGGTGCCCTGACTGAAGCCTCCTTCTCTGAGCCATCACCGAATTCTTCCCTCAGGTGCGTACCACAAATTCCATACGTCAAGAGGGTGTCGGGAAAAGGGGACACAACATTTGTAATCCAAAACATCACAGCGGGCCGGCTTCTGGTGACAGGTTTAACACACCAAAGCCAACAGACCGTTCAGATGCCCCCCTAAGTGACAAGGGGAAAATGGCATCAAATCTCTATGGACGACACTGCAAATTACGGTCTGCGCGGTCATCTCATGGAAATATGCCTATTCAGCAACAACACGGGGTTCTCCCGCTGCGCTGCCGCCCTGATTGGTGAACCAAGTGGCTACTACCGCCACAGCTCCTACTGCTCTGTCTCTCAATCCTACTATCACCACCATCGCACCTCAGTCGTAACGGGTGGAAATGCAGGAGTGTGGGCATGACCGCGAGGGAGGCAGTCGTCCGGATGCATATAACGAACTAGGTCAACGCCTATATGAAATCCATACCCCCCCCCCGCCCCCCGCCCCCCGCCATCGGATTGTACCGACAGGCGCCGAGTTGATCAACATGTATGTTGGGATGCTAGGTAGAGGGGGGCTGAGGCTACCGAACAAACTAAGGGGTATGCAACGCTCAAGTGGGCTCGATATGTGTCTTCTGTTGATGATGGTAGACGATGGCCCACGAGGGGAAGTGGGAATGCCTTTGTGGATCACAATTCAGGGAGGAATCAGGATAGTCTGAGTTTAGTTAGAGGCAGCTTGTAATTTAGCTCTATAATTATCAACGAGTCATCCGTCGTATACACTCCGTAGTTTCTCGTTTATCTCAGTCACTTCCTCTCCCTCAACCGACACCTAATCAACTCATATTCCATAATAAACGATATTGCCCGTTTTCGCCGCCTGCTTCCTCTGCTGCACCTACGTCAACCTGGTATTATCTCTCGCTGAAAATGCACCACCAGCTTATCAAGAGGCACACCTACGTGTGGTACAACGGCCCCCTTTTCCGGCGCACGTTTTCGATGACGCGACTCAGTCGTAAAAACCTTAATGGTTAACAATAACTAATCCAAATTTACACTATACAAGTTCCTACACCCACACTGTCACCGCCTCCTCCCAATTGAACTAAACACCGGTTTGGCCCAACGGTATTGGGAGGAGGACCGGTTGGACACCAATCGAAAGAGGACCGGTTCGACTTCCCCTCGCGGCGTAAAACTCTAAAAAAAAGAGTTTTCGTAGCCACCAACCTCCATTCCACCGGGGAATGGGGCTTGGTGGTGAGCTTTTTGTTTATCTGCGTAAAAACCCCCGTTGAATGTCAAATTTATTCTTCATTTCTTCTTTACCACGCCATAATAATACCGACATATCCAACGACTTCTTCACAGCGAATTCACAGCCCTCTTCAATCCTCACGTATGAATTATGCAAGCAACCCTTGAGGCTCCAAAATCTTTCATTCCGACGGCGCTGGGACGAATTCTTCGCCGCTCGTGTTGAGATCAAACAAGCGGACCATCTGCCCGAACGGCTGGAGGGTTTCCCTCGGGGTAATGGCGGAGTCGATGTCGATGTCCACACGGCGAAGCGCGGGTGTGGCTTCCGAGATGTGTTGTATCAGTTCACGCTAAAGGTTGGCGCCGAAGGGTACGTCGGGCAAGACGGGGTCAAGGCACGCTGCGAGAGACCGGCCTTGGTGAGGTAGATTTAGTCGTTCTTCTAAGCTAGGCTTAGTTCCAGATGGCGGAGACGTTGGAGGGGGTTCGAGACTCTCCACGGCAGTACAAAGAAGCAGCCATACGCATCGGCCGATGAACTGAGTACAGTGGGACTGCCTCAAACAGAATCTGGGACGAGTGGGCGTCCCTAGGGGGTTCATCACTATCAGCTCAGATTACCACAACCTCTTCCATTTGTTACGGGGGTATCGTGGCTAAAGTAGGCACGGCCACGGCCCCAGGACCCGGGCTGCATAGGCCGTTCTTGGCCACGGTAGTGCCTGTTTATATTTGCTACCCGACGCGGAGTGGGCTACCGATATAAGGTGCTGACAGGGCCGCCGCCAGCCCGTGAGTGAAAGGATATATTTGCCTAACCCAACGCCGTCTCCAAATGCAGGTCATCCAACACAACGTAAAAGAGACGCAGGATGAAAAGCGCTCCATGACCGTTCCAAGAAGTTGAAACCCTGTATATGTGATTGAAAAGAAACGTCGTGAACCTTCTGCCCATGACATACTCGCTTAGCCAGGGCAACCAGTCCCTTGCAACGTACAGCTCCGCGGGTCCTTAAGAACCCACGACCCCCGTGTCGTCCTGACGCCCCCGCCCTACGACCGGCAACTCGATCTCGCCATCGGAATCCGAGTCCCCGTCGGCGGCGGCCCTGTCCAGCATGCGGTCAATCTCGTCATCGGCCAGCGCCTGCCTCGGTTTCGACGATACGGTTAGGCCCGTTGAAACCGGTAGTTGTTTCAACCTCGGAGTTGGTGCTGGCGCGGGTGCTTGAGCATGGGCGTGGTGGTCACCGTTCATCTTCCTTCGTGGCGTGCCCCTTGTCACCGACATGGGTGAGCCGCCCACGAACGGGGGTTCGTCAATATCCATGGCTGACGGGGACTTGTCGAAGACGACGCGCTTTTGGGTATGCGGCTGAGAATGGGATTGCGAGCGGGCGTGATGCGGCGGCCGTCCCGTGGGTAGGCTCTTCCGTGGTTGTGAAGTCGGGAGAGCGGTTCGCTGCGGTGCCATGTGACTTGACGGTAGGGGTTGAGAGGCAGAGCTGGGGAACGCGTGCATGAGGTTGGCCGAGTTGCCTGGGCTACTCATGAAAAGGAGTGATTCGATTGCGTCTTGTTCACGGACGTTGGTGTGCGGCGAAACGAGCATGGCGTCCGTGGTGGCGCTCCTGTGTCGGCCCGGGGCGGGATAGGGGCGGCTGTGTAGCCCTGCACCCGGTGAGGTATGGCGGGAAAGGAACGGGGGAATCTGTCGTGGGTTGGGTTCCCTCCGGGGATTCCCTAAGTGCTGTGACGGCTGGATGCTTACGGGCGGTGCAAGGCCATGGCTGCTTTTCACCAGAGATGTTGAGTCTCCCCGGGAGGTGGATTGCGGGGACGTCCTCCACTGGGGATCCCCGGGGTGGCCAAGTGGGTGATGCTGTGGACCCGTGGCTGGGGTCGTGTTATTGCTGCCACGATGCGAGACAGTGGAAAGTTGTGGGCTTGCTGAGGAGCCGTTCCTCAGGTGTATCGTTGACCCGGAAGATGCAGGGGAGGGCGCCTGTGAAGCTAATGTCTCAACCTGCTCTATGGAGTGAGACTGCCATCCATGGTCGACCTTGACCATGGCGTACGACAGGCGCGCTTTCAGTTCGGCGGACAACTGGGGATGAGTTAGCACGCTGAGCGACCCTTCATTTCCGGCTGGAATCGTACCTCTCCAATTCGGCTTCCTGCCGTGGATGCCACGCTGACGGTGCTGGTATTCCTCGAGTGGCCGACCATTTGCCGCGGGGACACGTTCGACTTGTCGCGCGTATGCTTCACCACGCCATCGGCCATCCGCTTTTTTGACGCGCCGTGGCCCATGTCGGTCGCGTCCTCGGGTATCCTCGCTTGGGCTGCGGCGACCTGAGAAAGTTGGTGTAATTGAGACCCCTGGCTCGAGCCCTGGGCGGTGCTAGTGCCGGGGCTCAACCTCCCTCCACTCGCGGGCGGGGTAAACACGGGGTCGGCGCCGTTGGTGGTGTTGGTGCCCTGCGAATTGCTCCGAGAAAGTGGTAATGGGTGTCGACTTGGTATTTGCGGCGGATAGCTGTTTTCGGTTGGGGGACGGTGTTCGAAGGTGGACGATGTGGAATAGGTGTTTGGTCGGGAGTCCCAGCCGCCGCGAGCTGTCCCGGCATGGTCGACGCGACTCAATAAAATGCCGCCTGAAGGGATGGTGGGAAAGCGAGGCGCGTCGTCTCCGGCAGAATGGCGTGTTTCGAGGGCAGCTCCCCTCGGTACAGCGGCGAATTGGCTCATATTGGCTGAGTGCGACCCAGAGCCAGTGTAGGTGTAGGGCGCTGTGCGCGACACGATTGTTGACCCTTTGTCCCCGACGAGCCCGGAATCGAGTCGATGCGGAACCGTAGTTGGTTCCGGGTCTGTCATTGCGCGAGAAGTTGTGATGTGTGCCCCCAAAATCGGCGAGCGGGAGTACCTGGTAGTCAATGTTCTGGTGGGAGGTAACTGTAGTGGGGTGGTCCGATTGGCGGAGGGCTGGTTTGGGACAAGCAAGTTGGGAGATTTGGCGAATTTGGTGGTGGATGTGCAGGCCAGTTGGTTACGCGGTTTGCGCGACGCCGCCGCGGCTCAGCAAGCGGACAGCAGTGGGCGTGCTGTGCACAGACAGGATTGGAGACGGGCCCCGGAACCAAGCCCCACCCACCAACCAGCAGCCCTGAGAATGAGTCTACGCGGCCCCGTTCTACCCGACGTCACGGAGAGAAGGCCCGACCAGCAGCCACTTGACGTCTGCCGCGTTCAATTTTGAAGACTTTTAAGGTTGCAGACACGGGGCATGCGAACTGCGGGAGAAGCATGATAGCTAGATCCAGGCATGTTGAATTGATTCCATGTTCCAAGGATAACCTAGACCCATCCCAACTTGCGAAACAGCATTTCTGTCGCAAGCACATCTTAGGTAAGATAGGTAGGTGGCTAGTTATCTGGCTCGTTAATTCATGTCGCAAAGCCCCATGGAAGTCAGAGAACGGACCTTTTCTGACCAACTGGTTGGCAGAGGCGAGTCGGTTTTTGGATGAGGACGCGAAGTCACGTGGCTTGGTTGGTGGACAACGCGCTGCAAGCCATCGAGAACAACCCTGGAAAGGGCTTGTTTTTATTTTGACAGAGCAGCCGTTTTAGGCAGGGCTTGGGTGAGTTCGCGCCTGCCGTCCACATGGCACCCACTGAACGCAATGGCAAGGCGGGCGATCAACGATGCGATGCACAATGCCATTCATCACTCCTTTGCACCTCGGATTCTCGTCAGAATTTACACAGTAATCGTTTCTGGCTCCATCATCGGTGGGGCTCCAGGACCCCGACTCTGAGACGCACGGGTGCCAACGAAAACTCCCGATCCGGCTAGGACGCGTTTCCAACTTTATTCTTGCCCGAATCTCGGGCCGGGCCTTTTACTGGAATGTGTTATGCACACTCTCCGACTATCCGGAAGAATATGACCCGATCAAGGATTCTATCATCAACTCTGACCCGAGCCGTTCGTGGTATTCTCTATTCTCGAAAGCCCAAGCGAGCACCTTGGCTTCTTCCTCGACTTCAACTTCCAAACCCTGTATTGGGGGGGGGGGGGGGGATCATATGAAACTCGACAATACCTATGTAAACGGACGGGAAGTGCAAAAGCCGCGTGAGGCCGGGTGATAAGTTGTATTTCGGGAGCAGATGAGTTTCCCTTGGATAGGTCGGAACCGGCTGGCGTTGACCGAGTGCCCGTGCTCTCAGAAGTTGAACTTGTGGTCGCGCCCAACGGCGAGTTGAGCTTTATCAAAAGCCAACCCCCTCCGCATCCCGGGGTCCTGGGCCTTCTCCTGTCTCACAAACACGTGGGCGCCGACAGGATGGCACCAAAACTTAAATCATCAAAATCGACACCCCACGCTGCAGCATTGATATTTGATACTCGAAATGCCGATGAAAACCGTTGGCCGTGAATCCTGGCCGCGGCAGTGTGTGCGGATGCTGCCGTAATTCTTGGCCGTGAGCACGACATCGGCGGACTCGACCGGTTTGTGAACGCCCAGGCCGACCGCTGACGACCTTCCCGTTTTGGCGCTTGCAGGCGATCATGGCGGCCTGCCGTTGGCCCCGCGGGGGCCCTGATCAAGCAGTTGACAGCCTCCCCTGTGCTGGTTACCGCAACGGACCGAATCATGGCTGTCATGTTGAAAATATTTCCTCAAGCAGCACCGACCCCCAAGGCATCCTTCACGACATGAAATACCAGGGTCCAATCAGCTCATCGGGTTTGGCTCCCAAAAGAAGATGCCGAGCTGTGCTTGACGAGATCAAAGGTCCGAGATGACCCTCTATGCAGCCTGTATCTCGGAAAGCCCGACCGTGACTTGCCTTGTGGCGCCAGGATCCAACCAGGCAAAAACGAGGTTCAAATCCGAGAATGCTGAGGGTGCATACCAAGACGCCGAGGGGATTTGCCACCGATGGCGCCAGTGTCGTGTGCGTGTCACGTCACGTCGCACCAGGGAACTTTGTCTCTGGGACTGCGATGAACCTTAAAAACAGCGCGGGGGCAGTATCCTGCAGGCTGGGCTTCATATAAGATCGGCGCGACTGCTGCAACCCCGGGCTGCCATCTCTTCACGCAGCTTCTCCCTCCACTTCGGTTCCAAGGCAATTCGCAACCATGGGCGCCGACAACTCCTCCAACGAGGAGGTGGCCCCTAAGGAGGTTCACGTCCATGATGACTCCAAGACGAAAACAGGCGACGATGTCGAGGTCGGCGAGATCAAGGAAGAGAACAAGTATGCGTATGACGACTCGCAAAAGCTGGGTATCACGGGTGCCGTGTTCCTCATTCTCAACAAGATGATTGGCACGGGTATCTTTTCGACACCCTCGAGCATTTTCGCAGCGACGGGATCTGTCGGTGTGTGTTTGATGTTGTGGGTTATTGGTACGTCGCCATTAACCCCCTAGCCTTGTCTCGGATGATCCCCCGTATTGGTTGCTGACAAGCCGAATAGGCGGTTTCCTCACCTTCTGCGGCCTCAGCGTGTGGCTCGAATTCGGCCTGGCCATTCCCCGGTCCGGCGGCGAGAAGAACTATCTGGAATACATCTACCGCCATCCCAAGTACCTCGCGACCTGCATGCTCGCCTCGCAGATGATCCTGCTCGGCTTCTCATCCGGCAACTCGCTCGCCTTTGGCCGTTATATCCTCTACGCGGCCAAGGGCGAGCTCAAAGATACCTACGCGGCGCGCGGCATCGGCGTTGCCTGCGCCACCTTCGCCGTCGTGCTGCACGCCATAGCGCCGAAGTGGGGTATCCGGTTGTTCAACGTCCTGGGTATCTTCAAGGTGGCCGTGTTGATCTTCATCGTCTTCTCCGGCTTTGCTGCGCTAGCAGGCCGCCGCCTGGTGCCGGACCCCGGTAACTTCGAGAACGCCTTCGCTATCGAGAGCGGCGAGGGATACGGAGGCGGCGGCGCGTATGCCTACTCCAACGCCCTGCTCAACATCGTCTACAGCTACAAGGGCTGGGAAAACGCAAACTATGTGCTCAGCGAGATCAAGAACCCGAAGCGGACCCTGACTATCGCTGCACCCCTCGCGGTCGGCGGCGTGACCATCCTGTACGTCCTCGCCAACGTGGCCTACTTTGCCGCCATCCCGAAATCCGACCTGGCGACCTCGGAGGTGATTGTGGCGGGTCTCTTCTTCCGGAACGTCTTTGGCGACAGTGCCGGCGCCCGTACCCTGCCCGCTTTTGTCGCGCTCAGCAACCTAGGTAACGTCCTAGCCGTCAGTTTCGCCCACGCGCGGTTGAACCAGGAGCTCGGAAAGGAGGGTCTGCTCCCACTGAGCCGGGTGTGGGGCTCTAACAAGCCGTTCAACTCGCCCGCTGCTGCTGTAAGTTTCACTCTGGCTGTGCAGCCCCCTCAAACACAATAACTGACCACGATACAGCTGTTCCTCCATTGGATCGTGACCATCATCGTGCTGCTCGCGCCGCCCCCCGGACCGGCATACAACTTCATCGTCAACCTGTACACGTACCCAGGCGCGTGGATCAACAGCTTCGTGGCGGCGGGGCTCATCTACCTGCAGTTTCAGAAGAAGGAGCCGTGGAACCCGGGGTGGCGCACCTTTTTGCCCGTCACCATCATCTTCTTGCTGTGCAACGCCTTCCTGGCTATCGTGCCCTTCATCCCGCCGTCAGACGGCGACTTCTGGGCGGACGGCTACCCGTACTACGTGTTCCCTGTGGTGGGTGTGGGTGTTTTGCTGCTGGGCGCCGTGTACTGGTCGCTGTGGACCAAGTTCTGGCCGGCGGTGCGCGGGCACAAGGTGGTGGCGGAGCGGATTATTGATGAGACGAATGGGGAGGAGGTCATTCGGTATCGCAAGGTCAAGACACATGTTGCTTGAACGGGTTTGTTTGTATGTGCAAATCTGGTGTTTCCGGGGGTAGTAGGGGGTTGGTGGATGGGATAGTGACAGTATACCCGGTGGTTTCATTACTCGGAGGATGAATCTTGATGCATTGGTGTCTTGGAGGATGAGGCAAATTACTGCTGTTCAGTGAACTTGTATCCCACCCCTGTCCAACGATGTTGACATCGTCACCGTCTGTACTTTGGGAGATCTCGATTGATGACCCCATCATATGGGTTGCGTCTCATGGCTCCCTCGATCTGGGCTGACTCTTCGTCTCAAGGCTGAAGAAAAGTTGCCCCAAATCGCACAGTGCTGTGGGCAAATCTGGAGATGGTCTAGATTGGCCTGAAGCTCGCGAATGGCCCCACCAAATTCGATGTGGGACCCACTAACCAACCCCCGTCGTACTTTGCGCCACGACTCCAGATGCCAGCTTGCAGGCGCGATCATGACCGCATCGAGCCAAATTCACAAAATTTACAGACGATATTTAGCATAGACTTCGTGGCGTAGAGATACCACCAACACTTCCACCCTCTGCGATTTGATCGTCATACCTTTCGATACTATCACTCCGAATTCTCTGGATGACGCACACATAGCAGCAACATGGTGAGCTTTTCCCGTCGCATTCGCAGTCCCCCTTTCCATCACGGATCGTACGGACTCTCAACTTACCATCCCAAACCAACCCTCCAGAACACAACCTTCAACTCGGCGCTCAAACAGCGCACCACCATCCGCAAAGACCTCTCCGCCCTCTCCGCCCACCTCCCAACAGCCAGCAACAGCAACCATGACCCCCACCAGCCCCAACCAGCAGCACCACTCACCCCCGCGGCCCTGGGCTCGCTCTCCGCCTCGCTCACCGCCTTCGCCCGCACCGTGGACGAGTACAACGCGCTCGCCAAGCAGGAGCTCAACGCGACCAAGCAGGACAAGGCCTTCGAGCGGATCCGCGACTTCCGCGCCGAGCTGGCCGACTTCCGCGCCCGCTTCGACGCCCTCAAGGCCGCGCGCGACGACGCCGCCCACGCCGACAACCGCGCCGAGCTGCTGGGGCGGCGGCCGTTTGCGGCGGCGACGCCCGAGAATCCGTACGCGAATGTTGGTGGTGGGGGTGGTGGTGGTGGTGGTGGTGCGCTGGGGGTGGCGTCGTCTGCGTCGGGATATGGGATGAGTGGCAGGGGTCATGCGCGCACGACAAGTAGTGCGGAGGCTGGATCGGGGGGGTTGGGCATGGGCAGTGGCGATGTCACGCGCGAGGGCCATGCCCTAAGGGAGCAGCAGTTCTTTGCGAATACCCACTCGGCGCTGGACGACTACATTGCGCGCGGACAGGCCGTGCTGGGCGACCTGGGCCAGCAGCGCGAGATGCTGAAATCGACGCAGCGCAGGCTGTACTCGGTGGGCAACACGCTGGGGATTTCCGGCGATACCATCCGCATGATTGAGCGGAGGGCGAAGCAGGATAAGTGGATTTTTGGGGCCGGCGTGGTGGTCTTTTTCCTGTTTTGCTGGCTGGTTCTGCATTTCCTGCGGTAGCCTGCCTCGAGTGTAAGTGTGGGTGTTAGAGGAATGCTTGCTTGGTCATCTAGCGCGGAGTTTGGGCGTAGTCGGTGGTATTTGCTGGTTAATTGAAGTCTATCTGGCAGTTGATGCCAACCATCTTGCCATCCTCCAGCCCATGCTTTCTCTTTGTACAGTATGCAATCCATCCCCGACCAACAAGATACTTTAATCCCTTTTCCCACAACCCTTTCTCACCACCCCCACCCCCTTACGCATGCCGCAACGCAATAGTAAACAGCACCTCCTCCGTAGTCTCCACCTCCACCACCTCCGTCGTCGGCAAGACATGATTACTCGTGCTCACCCTTCCCCCAAACCGCGTCTCCCAATCCTGCACATCCCACTCCAACCCCCTCGTGGTAATCCGACTGGCCGCGCCCACCGGCAGGATCCCCACATGCTTGCCAAACACATCCCCACCACCATTCCCACCGCCACCACCGCCAGACACCACGCTGCCCTCCTCCCTCACCCGGATGCGGTGCCGCCCCGCCTTGAGCAGGAAGGTCAGGCTCTCCCCGCTGAAGAGATACATGCGCCCGTCGGCGTAGTGGGCGTCGGTCTGGAACAGGTACAGGTGGTGCAGCTGGCTCAGGCCCTGGTCGACGCGCCCGCCCAGGCCGCCGATGGCGACGATGTCGAGGGGTTTGGGAGTGGCGTGGTGGTGGTGGGGATGGGAGTTGGGGATGCTGGTAGTGGTGTGATAGTGTTGGCGGATGTAGGCTACCGCCTTGCCAAAGTCGGTGGACTCCTGGTCTGGGTCGCGGATGACGAGCGTCTGGGGGCCGCTGGTCTTCTGGGACGCGTAGTACGAGTGTACGGCAGGGGTGAGGGAGTCGAGATCGCCGATGATCATGGCGAGGTCATCCTGGGAAGCGGTTAGAGGGGCAGAGTCAGACGAGATAGGTGTGCTTTACGAAACATGAGTCGCCGTGCTGGCCGGCTGCCTCGTAGAGGGCGTTTGCCCCACCATCTGCCGCGATGCGGACTTGGGCTACTACGTCGTTAGGGATGATGCCTTTTTCTCCTGTTGTTTGGTTTGCGCGGTGGACTGACCGTTCTCCCACAACCTCCGCGTCACATCGAGATAATGGAGGGGCTGGTTGAGCACGATCAGAGCGAATTGGTCTGAAGTTGTTTTGTCGTCGATCTGTGAACGGGCCTGGATCAAATCTGCCGGATTCCACTCGAATGATCTAGATCGCTGATTCGCGATAGCGTCGTCGTGATGTTCGATCATGATGCGTATGAAGACCCAAGTGGGGCGTGGGGGATGGGATGGATCGAGTTCTTTGTTCTCTGTTGAGCACTTTCTAAGCTTTTTGAGACTGACTTAACACAGCTAGCAGCTATTTAGCAAGTGGGGCTGCAAGGAAGCCGCCACAGTCTGTTGTGTGAGTTCGGATTGTATCAGCCAACACACAGCAATAAGTGAATAGTGACCTCGCCAACGTCATGAAGTAGTGTCCGTAACAGTGTTTGTTCGTCTGGACAGATGTACTGTATACGTCACATAATTCGGCCACAGTAAACACAACAGCCCATGGCCACATCATAGCTATACATGTGCCTCACGCCAGGGCCCCATCAACACCCCATTCACCCTGGTGGGAACGGTCGTCATATCTGATCTTTGACTTCGTAGCTCTCGGTGACCAGGAATGTAGCTGGCTAGACTCATGATGGACCGTGAACTGGACGCCAGTGACTTCCGTACCTATAAATTCCTGTCCATCCACCACCGCACCCCGTTCCTTCCTTCCCCATCTTGTCATCTTCGCTTCCCCTTTGTCGTTTCCATTCTCTCGTCCATAGTCCCTCAAGTAACTCGACTCTTGGACGACACACAATGCCCATGGAACAGCACAGGGATGCAGCGCAGGAAGTCTACCGCTTCCTCGAGGCCTCATGGCAGGGGGCCATCCGGGTGGGCCAAACCACCGTCCGGGTGAGCCGAACTACCATCCGGACCGCGCGGCGCCTGCACGCCGTGCTGACCGAGACCCACGGGGCCACCGACGACCTCGCCAGCTGGGAAGTCGCCCTCCGCACCTCGCTGCAAGAGGCAGGGCGGCTGGGTCGGGTCGCCCTCTATCGCGCACACCAGATCCGCCTCGCGCTGGCCCAGAACCCGCCGCAGCCCACCGACGAAAGGTGGGAGATGGTCAGCGAGGGCGACGCGACCAGCAGCGTGGGTGATGCGGCCGAGCTCGACGATCGTTGGGACGATAACGGCGCGCTCTTCGACGACGAGCCCCTCGCCGGCGGCTACACCCTGGCGGACCTGCTGTCCGACTCCGACAGCGACTCCGCCGGCGACGGTCACCCCTCTTCCTGCTCCTCCTCCTCCTCTTCCCTTCTGCCCCTCGTCAACGGTCCATCGTGGCCGTTGCCTGCCCCCCAAGCCTCCGTATGGCGTGGCGCCTCACTACACCGCTGGCGCAACTCCTCCGCCGCGGGCGCCGCCAGACCCTCAGCAACGCCCGAACCCGCACCGCACGCGCCCCACCCCCACGGCCACCAGTCCGACGACCGCGGCACGCCGTCCACGGCGCACAACCAGCCGCCGCCCGCGCCCACGGCAGCGCGTCAAACCACACCACCGTCGCCGCCGTCACAGCAGCCGGCCCCGCGGCAGACCCCACCACCCGCAGCATCCACAACGTCTGCCATTACCGACGGAGACGCCGCCCCGGCCGGCCGGCCACCCACCAACCCCCGCGCCTACGACGACGAGTGCGTCTCGCCAGCACCGGCCTCGGGACAAGGCAGCGGCGGCGGCGGTCCATCATCAGCACCCACAACCGGGCCACAACCGCCGTCGTCCACGCGGCCGCCTTCGATCCGCGACAGGCTGGTGCCGACACGGATTCGCGAGGCCAGGTCCCGGGAAGGGAAAGGGGCAGGGGCAGGGGCAGAGGCAGGCGGGCCGAGCCGCGCACGCTCTGGATCGGGATCGTCGGGACAGACGCCCGCGCCCGCGTGGACGCCAGAGGCGGGGTATGACCGGGTCGATGGCGAGGTGAGGGCGAGGATTGCGGATGTCGTGCGGCGGGCGCGTCGTGGTGGTGGTGGGGAGTAGGTAGGGCGGCGGAGCGCGGAGAGTATCGCGTGTGCATGGGGTAGGGGGGGGCTGAGATCTGAGCTCTCTGTTGGCGCGATGGGGTTGTGAGGGAGATATCTCTGGGTAGCTGATGCGGGCCAGGAGGGTGCGTGTATTGGTGGTAGTTGTCAGTATGGAGAACCTTGGTCGTGGAGGCTGGGCGCGGTGCGGAAGGCTGTTGGGTCGGGGCTGGCGTCTTTCTGGCCGTTTATTGTCTTTAGAGAGCATGACAGGTTTGTCAAGGCGGCGTTTTGGTTAAAGGAAGATACCCCGGGTACGGATACCAAGCAAGCAAATGAAAGTGTTTGTTAATCGCATGTGAATGGGTCTTCTGTGATCAGTCAGTTGTGGGTGATCTTGAATCCCACCGCCAGTAACGGACGGGTCGACACGAATAATAATATCGAGATTGGGATGGAAAATAAGAACAAGGTCGACTTTGACACTGGAGCTCGACGCCCGTGTGCCGCTCTTCTAGTTCAACTCGCGCTCCTCGTCAAGTTCGTCATCCACCAAGCCCTGCGCCGGATGCCGGATGCATCGACCACCAAAGACCGAATATCGATCGGGCGTTCCGGGCTGTCTTACTGTTCGACTTCCTTCATACTCCATTCGGAAATGATGCCAATAAGAGAGTTCTGTTCTGTAGCCATATCAGGTAGGTTTGGGCAGGTCACGCTAGAAAGCTCGAAACTACATCGTTTCCGTTGATGTAGTCGATAACTGGGCCTGAGGCGGGAGAGAAAAAAATATCGCCTGCCAAGCACGGTATCACACGCAGCTCTTTCTTCTTTGATGAAGTTGTACTCGATCGGAAAGATGGCGGGCGACGACCATGAGCTCAAGCTGCATTTTTACAACTCTGCTCATTGTGTAATGTAATGTAGGTAATGCAGGAGCCTGGCTTGTGCTCATTCATGTCTGGGAATCTTGGGCGAGCACAGCTTGAATGGGTGGCTGCTTTGGGAAAGTGGGGCTCTACTACCCCAGTCATTGGCCAATCCCCCAGCCCGGGAAATCCCCGGTTTGGCGGCGACAGCCTCGCCAGAAATTTTGGCGGCATCCGAAGCTGCTTACAAAACAACTGGGAGGGTTGTGGCGGCCACCTTCGTTTCGCGTTTCGTGTTTCTGTCTCGTTGCCATTTGCTGTTGCATCTTTTACGGCTTCTTGTTCCTGGAATTTGGTCGAAAATGTACCGCACAGCCCTGAGGTCAGCGCCCAGCGCGTTGCGCGCAGCAAGGCCGACGCTTTCTTCCGGCTCCCGGCGCTTCGCATCGACTACCGCCCAGACCAGCAAGAAAGGAACATGGAAGGGCACCGGGTTCCGATGGGGTCTCGCCGTCGCTGCAGTCTACTTCTACAACACCAGCCCCATCTTCGCTGATGAGCTGCCTCGTGCGTCACATTCGCCCTGACCAGCTTGCTCTCCCTCCCCATACTAACCAAACCCAGCCCAAGTCGGCCCTGCGCCCGCCCACTTCTCCGATGCCGACCTTCCCACCATCGAGGCCATGATTGAGGAAAAGCGTCGCCAAGGTAGCCGCCGGCCGCCCCGCCATCACCCCCACCCAAAGCCGACGCAGCCGGTAGAAGCGAAAGCTAGACGAAGCGAAGTCGGAGACGACCCAGGAAAAGAAGGCCCCAGTAACGGAGAAAAAGGCGGGATGCGGCGGAAGTACCGGGTCCGGCGGAGGCTCCGGAACCCGGCTCGCCCGAGGCGTTGGAGCAAGAGGCTGCGCAACAGGGCGCCTTCGACCCGGAGACAGGGGGAGATTAACTGGGGCTGCCCGTGCTTAGGTGGCATGGCTGATGGCCCTTGTGGCGAGGAGTTCAAGGCGGCCTTTAGCTGCTTCGTCTACTCCAAGGACGAGCCCAAGGGGATGGACTGCGTTGACAAGTTCCCAGTACGTATCCGGTGAGCAGAGATGGCCGAGCCCAACCGTTGGCTAACATATCATTTTCTAGACACATGCAGGACTGCTTCCGGAAGTACCCCGAGATCTACGGCTCCGAACTGACCGAAGACGACGAGGAGGAGAATGCCCAGGCTCAGGAGGTCGCCAAGGAGATCAAAACAAACGAGGAGACAGCAACTCCGCCTCAGAAGGCAGCAGATGTCTCCCCGAAGGAAGCCGCAGATGCGACCGATGCGAACAAGGGGAAGAAGCAATAAATAATACTAAAGGCAACGTCCCTGGACGTACGACAACCCGGATGCGGTCCGGGCGAAGCAGCAGACCGGTGTTGAGCTGGGGTTGCGTGAGCTTTGATCATAGCCCGCATGACGCTTATGTACTTTATACCATGTAAAACCGTTAGAGCCGTTGCTGCATAGACTCCTCTTCAGTTTCTGTCATCAGCTATCATGATCAGGCTTAGCGTGTCTTTACTCGGGTAGAGGACTCTTGTATCCATCCGCAGCACCTAGAAACATGGGTAGGTAGGTACCTAGGTAGGTAGTGTAATCCGTACGAGTCACAACACAAGACTTCGGGCGTCAACGGTTTTCCCCAGATCGATATTCAGGGGAGACCTCCACGCCCACGCGAGCCATGGTAAAACCCTCGAAAAAGCATCTCACTTGGCTCTTGGCATTCGGCTTCTCAGAGCTTGCGAGCGCGCTAAGCCAGCCGCCGACGTCATTATTACTGGGGTTTTCGTGGCAGCCCCGCTCGACAACTCAGAGCCTTGGCTGCAACCATCTTGGTGGTGCGAGGGGTCGAGTGTTATCTATTAGGTGCTCTGAGGTCACCGGCCGGGCAGGCAGTCGGGTTCGGGTCAGTGGGTAGGGCAGCTGGTACCCAAGCCCGGTTTTCGGTTTTATCCATCACATGTGGCCGTCAGTCACCCGCCTATTTCTTTCGTTTTGTTCGGTTGAACACCGTGACCTTGCCCAATCCCATCACGAAATCACGAAATCTCGAAACCTCGAAACCGATTGATCATCGAGTCCGTGCAACAAAACATTTGTTGCATTTCCATCGGTTTGCGAATTCCTTGATCGCAGGCATCAACAAGACAATAAATAATACAGAGCCATCCAATCTCTCCTCCCAAAAAAATTAGCAAAAGTAAGTCAGGCACCGATTCCCAGAGTTCCGAATTTGCATTGGCGGTGTTTACACTTCCTTGTGTCTGCGTTTACTACCAACAACAAACCCACTAACACACCAACCCCTCACAGTGTCTTACGCCGAGGTTGCGTCTAAGGGAGCCAAGCAGTCGGCAGAGGAGGTAAGCCTACACTAGCCCATCTAGCCCTTAACCGTTCCTGTCCATTCCCTACCTACCTACCCAGGTAGTCCCCCCCCATGCTCTCCACCCCGTTCCTTAACACTGACTCTTTTGTGCCCCATCATCCAGGCCGCCGCCCCCCAACCGCCGCAAGTGCAAGTCGACGCGGGTGTGGCCTCGTCCACGGGCTCGCTGATCGACGTCGACACGCCCTCGGTGCACACGGTGCCGTCGGACTTTGAGTCGCAGGAGATCAAGACGGAGACGCAGGCGTCGCGCGTCGAGCGCGAGGCCGAGCAGGAGGCCGCCGCCGCCCGCGCCCGCGCCGAGGCCGAGGCCGCCAGCAAGAAGAAGAAGCGCGTCGCCGAGGAGGCCGCCGCCAAGAAGCGGAGGGCCGAGGGCTGGTTGGCGAGGCACTTGGATGGGATGAAGGCGGGTGGTGCCGGTGCCGCGGTGTCGCTGGCGAATATTGTGGCGGTGGTGGGCTTGAGTGGTTGGTTGGGGTTCCGCGCGTGGGGTTTGTATGATCGTGGTCGGTTGGGGTGGAAGGAGGCTGGTGTTGGGCTCGGAGTGTTGAGCGCTGTGGGCGTGGTGGAGGGCGTGTTTCTGAAGTGAGTTCTCCGTCTCCGATTTCTTTCTTCTTTTCTGTTTTGTGCGTTTCAGGTTCGTGAACCTTTCTTTTCGAGGTTGAGGCTAACAGTTCGGTGTAGCTACTTCTCCAAAGCCAAGGGCAAGGACCACTAGTCGCGGCAGAGCCTACCGACACAACCGCCCTTCTCGATGAAGATGACGAATAAGGATAGTTTATACCAGTGACCGTTCGTTCGGTTTCCTGGGTTCGGCCGACGGCGGCGCGGATTACGAATATCTCTTCTCCGACACTCTCACCTCTTCCCGGGCGTTTTGTTATTTCCGTCTTCAGCCGTGTATCTACCCTCGCATCGTGGCGTTGTTAAGCTCGGAATTTGACTTCTTACATGTCCCACAACACGTGCATGCTCCGAGGATGGATGCGAAGCAGGCTGTGTTCTAGGCCCCCCACATCCGACCTCATCGGGTAGGAGCTCGAGCAGGGAAATGTCGTGCCACCATGCGGATTACATGGAGATGCTGATCTGGTCCATTAATAAACCCACCTAGGTCGATTCCAGGCACTGGAGGATGATCTCTAGGTGCTCCTAAGGCACGGACCTTTCGACACAAGACCAACCTCTATCGCCGACACCAAGCTCAACTATTTGTCCTCGCACTCAACTCTTAAGTCCTCCCATTAACATGGGGAAACCGAGTCAGGGACGAGGAACTTTTACACGTCAGCTCGGCCCCCATCTCACCCGGCACGGCACTACAACATCGCCACCGGTGCCACGGCCCCGGTGCCGGTCATGAAAAGGTCCCTAGATCGACAAGATAATTGCTTGAAATGGTTGTTTAACGTGTTTGTTAGTAATCATTAACTAATGGTTCCTTACTGCGTTCATCGGACTCGCATCTGACACTTCAATACGCGTTGCCAAGATCTCTGCCATGAATTAGATATGGTTTAATACGATAGGTCTTGTTGACACCTGCGCGAAGGATCAAAAAGAGCGGCACTGAGACACTGTTTGCTTCCACTGAGTGGTGACACATTGTTCTATGATGACAGAACCGCACTTCAACAAGGGCGGTAATGGAACACAAACAGCGGCAACCACGCGGCGCGGCCCTGAAACTCTCCGGGAAACTCAGCATGCCACGCCCGCCGTTTTGGTAGTACGACCGGGGGTTTCTCTGTGAACTAAATTGGGTACGAATAAGTTGAGTGGCTGGAGCCAAGTCGGCGGCTTTGTCGCCTGGGCGTGCATGAGGGGATGAGGGGATGAGGGGATTGATGACCACCATCTCTAATTCGCTGAGTGATAAACGGAGCTACCGCAGCCAAGGGCGCTCTTTTTCTCCGAGGCTTTGAATCTCTTGTATGATTCTGGCAAGAAAAAGCTGGGAACGAGAAGTAGAAGTCCGCCTTCGGTATATTAGCGAATGGCCTATTGTTCGCGCTGATGTCCGTTTTGGGCTCTCAGGGGTGGCGGATGGTCGTCTGCACCGCTACGGTTAGTGTTGTATGAACATGCAGCAAGGGGAGCTACTTGGGTTCGAGCGCAACCCTAAAGGGGGCTTCCCATTGAAACGCGGTGTGCCCGAGGGGGGTAAACCCGCAGGCGCCAGTTCTCGGCGGACGCGGTTCCGGACAAATCATTCGTTTCCTACACGGCAACTGCCGAATAAGACAGCTCTTCCACCGGGTCAGAGACATCCAGAGGCGCATGCGGCCGAATCCACGGGCCCGTCGCTCTCAGCCCTATGGGGCAGGAGGCGGAGCCAGAGGACGATTCCGTTTGCGCTCGGTATTAGCACACCCCCTGGCTCGGTCATCGCTTTCTCTTCCCCACGAATCATATTGGTACGGTGTCATTGCGTGGCATGTATGTCTTATAGGCCCACGCGGGCTCTCTTTTCAGTTCTGATGGTTCCCCGGACTAGACATGGATTCACAAATTCTTGTCCTGTTGTTCGCCAGCAACCACCCCGGACACGATGTCTACGGAGAAGCCTTCCCGTCCTCTCATACGCCCTATGGCCGAGAGACGAAAACGATCATGCAGCGAGTGCCGGCGGAGAAAGCAAAAGGTTGGTACCACTACTCAGGCAGCCTCCGCGGACAGCACCGGTCCACATTCCTCTGCAGCTGCCCGTTGACACGACTCACTAGTGTGATCAACGACAACCCTGCCGGAACTGCTCTCGGCGAATGCCACGGCCGATCTGCTACTACGAAGGCGCCCCGTATGGCCCTTGATTGATTCGAACCTTTGATTCGGGTCAAATCTAACACAGGCCGTTATAGCCTCCATGGGAAACCTCCATGCCCTACCCCGAAACTCGAACGGTTTGCTCCAGAAGAGCCTTTTATTTCCCCGACTACCACAGTTCTGTCTCCTAGTACGTCGGGGCACTTGGATGGCCAGCTATGCTACATGCCCACGACACCTGGTAAAAGCTGCGACGAGGATACATCCACCAGCCCCTTGATGACAATGCCAACACTTCCTTTCCATCCAATCCAACTCGACGACGTTGTACCTTATGCGAATAACTGGTTCCCATTCTTATCAGGCACCCCCACCAGCCCCTGCCCGTTAATATGTACGTTCCCAAATTCCTCTTATCAACAATGGATTGCGAGAGCGCTGATGGGAAATCAACAAGTCATAGAAGCATGTCAACGAAGTACGAAGGCGCTGAGCAGGAACGAGATTCTCGCAGCACGGTGCGCTGCTATTCAGGGGCTGCACAAGATGATTGCCGACCCGGCCACCGCGACCAGCGACGAGGGCATCACAGCGGTCGTGACCCTGGTTCTCAACGACCTATGCTTCGGGGAGACCCAGGCACTGCGGGTCCATGTCGACGGCGCTCGTGAGATGGTCATGGCACGCGGCGGCCTGGCGGCTTTGGGCCAACAAGACCTAGCCAAGATGGTGCTTGTGTAGGTTTACCCACCCGACCAGCTGCTTGATGGTCTGCAAGATGCCCTAACAACGCACAGCGCCGACCTCGCCACGGCCGTGGCCGTTGACACGACACCCTCCTTCTCCGAAGCCGATCTCTCGGCATACAGGCAGTCCCTCGGTGCCTCTTCCGCGCCCACACTCAACGGAGCAAGCCCTCCAAATCCAGCAGCCCCAAGACCAACGCCCCGAAGGTCAGCACTCTTCCGAAGCAACAATTTAACCCTCATCACTGTGCACCCGCCGCGCAACCCAACCCTCGACCTCCTCACCACCGCCATGCTCGCCGACACCAACTTCCTTCTCGACACAGTCCTCAACCTCCCTCCGAACTCGCCCCGAGCCCAACTGCACAAAGTCCTCGTCATGTCCAACTGGCTGCAGGGGCGCCTCTCCGCCGCAGCAGCCGTCGCCTCATATCCATCCTACGACCAACCCAACAGCCACTATCACAACCCACTCAACCATGGCCAACCCAACCAGCCCCCCAAACACCAACCCAACCACCAACCCCACCCACCCAAACCCAAACAGGCCAAACCCAAATCCAAACCTAACCCCCAACCAAGCCCTCCACCGCGCAATCCTCCTCTCCTCCCAGCTCTACTGCCGCGCCATCCAGACCCGCCAACCCCTAGCAAGTGTGGCACGGATTCAAGACGCGCTGGACCTGCTCGAGGCCGTGCGGGCCGTGCCGTGGGGCGTGTGGGAACAGGGCCGGGGCCGGGGCCGCTCGGGGACTGGAGAAGGGGAGGGGGATGGAGAGGGGATGCTGCAGACGTTGGTGGCGGTGTTGGTGGTGGTGTTGCCTGTGATGATGAGGGTGGGGATGGGGGGCGGTGATGATGGTGGTGGCGGTGGTGGGGGGCACAACAACAACAACGGGTTAAACTCGGGGGGGTATGGGTTTGGGTTTGGGTCTGGGTCTGGGTCTGGGTCTGAGTATGGGTATGGGCATGGGTATGGGGGAAGGGGGATGGTGGTGGCAGCTGTGGTGAGGCTTGCGTTGATGGACTGGGAGGGCGCGGTGCGGATGTTGGGGAGGGTAGTTAGGTTGCAGGCGTGGCTTCGCGGTGTAGGCAACAGGTGATGGTGAGACTAAAGGGGGGTTGCGGTGTGACTTACTTAGAGAGTGGCCCCTTTTGTCAATAGCCAATGCTTGTTGACAACCTTGTTGATAACAAACAATGTACTTGAGCTCTCCCGGATCAGACGCCATGACTCCCTTTAGTTCTCATGCTCACACAAATTGTTCAGCCATGCTGCTGTTCAAGCTTCTTCACACTCTTCGCCTCTAAACCTATAATCGTCGTCTTCGGTGACGTCTGCGGACTCTCAAGCCGCCTGTGAAAGCTTCTTGACTGGCTTCCTTCCAGGTTGTCTCAGGCCTCCTCTTTGGCCTTACTAATGTTTCCATACTACAATAGCTCCGACAGCAGATTAAGTTCACCTAAGTTAAAACCAAAGCACTGGGCATGCCTGTCTAAGGTAGTCACGTCAAAGTTGCCGCCGAATAGAAAAAGGACAAAAGAAAAAAACAAAAAAAAAGAAAGGGAAGAAAAGGAAGAAAATGAAAATATATAATTTAAAAAAGCCCAGAAGTGCGAGCTAATTTACTTCAACAAAGGCCGGAAGCAGTGGGAGGACTCTGTAGCTCTCGCCCACCCAGGGGGCAACGGAGGCTATAGTACGGTTAAGCCAGTGGGCTCGGCCCGGGTCGTAGGGGTCTGGCTAGACTGGAAGCTATCATGGAGGGCTCACTGCCAGGCAGTTGAACGGAAGCTAAGGACCCAGGACTTTGCCCTGTCAAGGATTGCGGCCAAGACATGGGGCCCGAGCCTTGCCCAGGCCCGAGAGGTGTACACCAAGTGCATTCGCAGTGCTATAGCCTACGGAGCCTCTAGCTACCACCAGCCAGCAGCTCCAGGGGGGACCAACAAGCCAAAAGGGATCGCAAAGGTTCTGTCGAAAGCTCAGAACAGGAGCCTCCGCATAGTGGTTGGAGCTTATAAACCGGCCCCTATTAGGTGCCTAGAGACGGAGGCTTGGGTGCCACCACTGGACCTCTACCTCAACAAACGGCTTGCCGACTTCGAAGACCGGCTACGCAAAGAGACCCTACAAACAGGGGCGGGACCAGAAGCCCCAAAGACTACCCCGCGGCACTTGATCACAGAGGCTTGCAACAGAGTCTACCGCAGGTTTAGAAAGAAGAAGAAGGGCCGAGGACAGAAGCCCCGTCATGGCCGCAGGCCCCAACACCCACCGAGAAAGCCACTATTATAGTGGGCCGGTGGGCTAGCCAGAGGTGGAAGACAGGAAAAAAGAGAGGCAAGAAGTTGAAAACCGACGAAGTGATGGAACTAGCCTGGCAGGCCCGGTGGGAGCAACAGAGACCAAGGCAAGAGGGGGTTGGTAGAAGGATGGCCGATAAGACCCCCCAGCTCTTCTTTTCACGAAAAGAGCCCTACAGAGTTACGAGGGCCTTACGAAGGCCCAGAGTACCCTCCTTTCCCAGGCTCGTATAGCAAGCACCCCCATTTGGAACGGCCCACATTTGGAACGCTGGGCAAATCTTGGCCCCTGGACCCACCCATCATCTTCAACACCATCTATTACAGTCTAATCACACCACCACAATACAGAAAGCACCTGATTCAGACCTTTCTGACCCGCTATCTTCAGCTATAGAGTCCTCTATACGGCCCACTTCAATCTGGGCCCGGTGGACCTGTTCAATCGAAGCGAACTGCTTGTTCGGATCCGGGACCACCCTCTTCCTTCTCGACGGCCGGGCTGCCTCCAACTGGACTTTTAGAGCCTCGTTCTTCTGTTGCAGGCGAGCCAATTGGAAGTCATTCTCGTCAAAAGCCTTCTCAACCTTCTTGAATAAAAGCCGCCGTGTAGAAAGATCTTGGCGTCGGATAGCCAGATTGGTCAGGTGACCCCGAAGGTCTGTCTTCTTGCGTGGAGTCTGAAATTCGACCTCCTTAGCTGTAGTAGTGGGCTGGCTAGGTAGCCTGGATACTGGGGTCTGTGGTAGGCGTAGTAGATCATCATCCTCAGGCGCCCGGTTTGAATTTTCCAGCAAGAGAGGGCTCATTAGTGGTTTGGCCATACGAAGAGGCCACAACCCAGATGCCTTCCACCCAGCTTTGATGTTGTGGGCCGTAATTGCCTTCCTCCGAGCCTTGACGAGGCACCTAAACATCAACTGCTTGCCCAATACCGTGGTTTCTGACCAACTGGTCAACTGGTTGAGGAGCTTGCGATAGGTGTGCTTCAGGGGAGAGAACACTGATAGATCCAACGGCTGGAGGACGTGTGAGGTGTGGGCTGGTGAAAAGAGCAGTTGGATATTGTTGCTGAAGCACTCCCACATAAATTCAGTGCTTGTGTGGCTGTCATGACCGTCCAGGATCAACAGGCGCCTCTGGGTAGGATCTTGCGGCTGGGTCTGGGGGATGAAGACCAGGAGCGGGGCGTCGCCGCCCGCTGCGCAAGAGAATGAAAGTGACTAGGGCGATGGAGTCAATTCTACAAAAAGAAGATATGAATTGTGAGGAAGAAAACGACAATGAGGAAATACCGAGAAATCACAAGAATCGCACCATCCAGGTTGCAGCAGTCGACGAGGCGAGCGAAGAGACCCGAGGCCTGGAGCAAGCCATGGATCATAAACTCAACAACAAGTTGGATATCATCAACGCAGAAGTTCTCATAGAGTTCAGAAAGTTGAAGGACTACATGGCAGAGGAGGTCGCAAAAATAACGGCCCAGTTGACTCAAGAGTTGCCGCAAGCGCGAGAGGAGCTCACTCAAGCACACCAGACTGCAGCTAGACGCCATGATGAGAGTTCAAGAAACCACATCAGGTCGACCAGCATATACGGACATCGCCAGACTGACCCTTCCAGTTAGCATTCACACCCCGGCCTCCTCCACGGGTCGGGTAACGACGCCGGAACCTGCGTTCTGCACGGTGGATACGTCTAGGGTTCCATAGGAACACAACGGAGAGACTACACCAGTAGCACTTCGAAAGCTCACTGAGAATGAAATGCAAACGCCTGGCAACCAGCCTAGCTGGCGGTGTGTTGCCGTTACCAGAGATAGAGGAAGCATCAACTGCATTAGAATCATTGGCAGGAACGAAGAGGAGGTAAAGAAAATCAAGGATATCGTCGAAGCAAAGAAGACACCGGGTGCAAGAGTCCTTCGAGACCAGCTGTACCCAGTCAAAGTCGACAACGTCAACCGTACGGTTGTCATCGACCACGAAGGAAAGATCCTTCCTGGAGCCGCAGAAGCCCTGGGCGAGGAAAACGACGTGCAGATTGCCAAGCTGACCTAGTTGAGCCGAAGGGACGCCGCAAAAGAATATGGATCCATGGTAGTATACGTCACGAAACTCGGCGACGCTAGGAGGCTGCTCAACGAGAGCTCGATGTACGGGCTTCATGAGACGAGGATCCATATTAGGATAACTATTATTATTATTCATACTCCGCTATGCCCTAGGGCGTGCCGGACCCTCTGCTATTTAGTGTACAGGAAAACCGTGCCCTCCCGGGCCGGGTGAAAAACCCATACCAACAATCAAGGAACGATGCGTTCTGGTGAGCCTACATATACAAAGAGAGGAGGCCTCCTGGCCTCCGAACGGGGGCGCTTCAGGCCGCCGTTTCCAGCTCGAGCCTCCTGGCTAAGCTGTACATCGGCAGCTTCCCCGTGTCCATCAGCCAGTCGAGGATCCTCCTCTCGAGCCGTGCAGTCGTGGGATTGATACCGTGTAGAACAGAGTAAAAGTCCGTGTCGTGTCCGAATTCCAGTCCTCTCCCATCTTCGAGCCAACGGTGGGGCCAAACACCACACTACTAGGTGTTCGGCAGTCTCTCGTCCCTCGCCACACTCGCAGGCAGGAGTCAGAACCTCCGGGACTCCCCGTGTGAACAAGAAGTCCCGTAGGCCTATTGCTCCCGTCCGGATTTGATATTGGGATAACTATGTATTAGTAAATTGCATGATAGTTGCCCTTTCGGGTTAGGCCCGCTGGGCGGAATAAATTGTGTGTGTGTGTGTGTGTGTGTGTGTGTATGAAATCCCTAGAAGGATCTAGAAGAGAAGAAATGACTATATAAATGAGCGGTCCCCCAGGCCCTTTCTGTGTCATGCTACGACAGAAAAACATAGAATATAATAAATTAATTCACTGAATTTAGCAGTTTGACAACCGCCGTTCTCCCTCCCGCTATAGCCCGTGATAGCGGCGTTTGGCCATCTCCGTCCGGACAGTCTTGCTGAGCATGATAATCTAGGAGTCCAACAATCGTTTCGTCCCCTATTTCCGCAGCATGCGACAGAGGGGTCTGACCATTTTGTTAATAATAAGATCTAACTATTCACTGTAGTTGAAGTTACTTACTCTCTAATTATAGTTGGTGAAAGAGGCTAGTGTTAACCATCAATTCGCCTCTCCTCAGCCCGGGCCGGATTCACTTACTCTCTATAGTAGCGAAAAGGGCTAGTGTTAGCCATCAATTCACCTCTCGTTAGCCCGGGTCGGATTCACTTACAAGCTACATTAGCGAAAAGGGCGAGTGTTAGCCATCAATTCGCCTCTCCTTAACCGCGTCGGATTCACTTACAGACTACAGCAGCGAAAAGGGCCAGTGTTAGCCATCAATTCGCCTCTCCTTAGCCTGTGTAGGATTCACTTACAAGCCGGTAACTGCAGTCCACATTAGCCCCCCTTCGAGCAGCAGTTTGACAGCCGCCGTTCTCCGTCCCGCTATAACCCGTGATAGCGGCGTTTGGCCATCTCCGTCCGGATAGTCTTGTTGAGCATGATGGTCTAGAAGGAGTCCAACAATCGTTTCGTCCCTTATTTCCGCAGCATGCGACAGAGGGGTCTGACCATTTTGTTAATAATAAGATCTATTCACTGTAGTTGAAGTTACTTACAAACTACGTTAGCGAAAAGGGCCAGTGTTAGCCATCAATTCGCCTCTCCTTAGCCTGTGTAGGATTCACTTACAAGCCGGTAACTGCAGTCCACATTAGCCCCCCTTTCGAGCAGCAGTTTGACAACCGCCGTTCTCCCTCCCGCAATAGCCCAAGAAAGCGGCGTCCGGCCCGTGTGATCGGGCGAATCCACACCATGGCCATTGTTGATTAGAGCCTCTGTTACATTTGCCAGCCCGAAATACGCTGCCAGATGGAGCCCTGCCATGGTCCTTTCGATCTTGAAACCGTAGTAGAGCATTGCTTGGCTCGACGCTTCGACCTTCGGAGCGGTCTCGAGGAAGGATATGATCAACGCCTCGACCTTGGCTCTATCCTCTTGATACTCCGCAACCGATTGATTCGATGTCAGAGCCTCACGAGCATAATGCCCCCAGTTTTGCGCCGCATACTTGTAGAGTGGGTTTGATCGTAGGCGCTGTTCAAATTCCGCGTGTGTTGGGCAGGACCCGTTTTGGAACGTATCGAACGAGAGATATGTGACGCATCTTGTCGCGATGTCGGCCACTGCCCCCAAAACCCACTGTTTCTGGGATTGCTGAAAGTATTCCTGGGTGGTGTAGTGAGCCAGCCGGATGACGCTGCTTTCTTCATCGATAGTAACTAGTCCAGCACACAGAGACAACATGACCTCAGCGGTTGGAATGAAATCTGTATCTAGGGCCGCCGTATTTGCCTGCACAGCAAGAGCGTGCTGGAGCTCCAGGACAGAGAGAGGCCTTTTCGAGTGGACGATCCATGTTAGAATTTGCTTGGCGCGGTCCGCATGGTCGCGTCCCTGACGTTCAATTCTCTCCATGGCCTGGTCGTAAGTTTTTTCCAATCCTTCCATTCCCTTGCCGAGTGACTGCAAGGCCCGCTTCAAATCCCCCTTTGTTAACTGAGATAAAAGCATATCTATGTGGAGCTGCGCAAGGAGGAACCTGAATCCGACGTTAGCCTACGCATGCTCTCACATCTAGCAAACAGGACAACCCACATCCCATCAGCGGCATCAACGACCCGCTTCCTGATCATATCTCGCATTTCACTGTCCATAATGTCGGAATTTCGGAGCGAGATTTTGGCGTCCAGATACTTCTCGATATCTCCATCAGCCGCAGTGATCGTCCGAGACAGGCCTTTGCTGAAAAAGTCCGAGATCTCCTTACTGGGCCTAGAAGTAGCAAAGACGTTGGCTACAACATTGTCTTGAAGTTTGAAAATCTCTTTCAGGAGCCTTATTCGGTCGAATGATATCCGGCATTCATCAAGCGCATCAACGATAATGAAGACTCTCGAATATGTGGCAGCCACGAGAGAGAGAGTGCTCGAGATCTCGTCAAATGAAGGTGTCGTCCGGTCTTTCTTATGTCGCTTGTGAAGATCTTCCACGCTCCTGGGCAGCGAAGACTGTCTCTGAGCCAGCTGTTTCAACAAGCTTACGAGCAAGTCTTCGGGCTTCTGCCCGTCTTGCCGCTGGAAATTGCAGTAGATGTACGCGATGCCGGTGCTCTGGTCATCTCGAAATCTCGACTGAAGATGATTGATCACGATTGCCGTGATGAGTGTCTTCCCTGCTCCGGGAATGCCGGGGCAAAAGAGTGTCTGCTTGTCGGTGTTGAGCCATGCTTGGAACTCGGCCGAGTCCAATAGCCATTGTCCGGTTCCTTCCTGTCGCCGGCGGATGAAGTCGTTGTGCTGGTCGGCATAATCAACCGACGTGAGCCAATTAAGAGTATGAAGTTCTTCTTTTGTTTTCATTTTCGCTGTCACCACAGCCACGCTTTCTTGAATCTTGGACACTAAATTCATTGTTAAAAAACTGCTCAAAGCTTAGCTCAAACATTACTGACCCTGGGCTAGTATATCCTTCACCGGGCGCTCTCCGTCGACGTCACTTGTCTGTACGTATCCCAGAAGCTCCTTCGCAAACGCCGCAGCCACGGCCGCTGCGTGCTCCTGCCAGTCCTTATTCTTGTGCGAGTCCGCGTAGGCACAGATGCCTCGAATGACGAGGCACGGGAAGTTGTTCATCAGTCCTGCCGCTTCCATTTCAACGCAGAGAACACTGCCACCAAGATCCATATTGAGCCTGCCCCGGAAGGTAGCGTCCTTGATCACTTGGTTACCCGATGCAATCAGGCCATAGTGCACACGCATTTCTCTGGGCTTCCTCTTCACGATCTTGGCCCTATCGCAGAACCGGCAGCTCTCTTCCTCTTCGTCCTCGTCATCACTGTCCAAGGTGACGTCGCAATCCGAGCTGCGCTCGCTGACGTGGTCGTAATCCGCCCTGAATAACACATCCTCAAGCGAGCCGGACCGCAGATACTTTGGTGCCAGCCTTGGCCATTTCTCTTTGAGCTCGTCTAAGTACTCCGGTATCTTGGACCCGCTCAACTCGTTCTCCGTCTCCAGTTTCGTCAAAGCTGTGCGGAGTGATGTGGGCGGGTTATTGAGCGACCCGGTCCGTTCGAATTTGGCCCCTTCCATCGCCTTGCCGAAATCCCACTGGACCACCCCAGGAAACTGGCCTACGGGTGAGCTGACCACGACATCGCCAAGCCGAACCTTGGGTGGAATACCGTCGCCGATGCCGACCATGAGACCGACCTTGACTGATGGAAAGGTGCCGACCATCCGCGCAGCGACGGCGGCAGCTGAACTTGTTCCGGTCTCGCCTTTGGGCAGGCAGGCTATGACGATATTATGCTTACCGATGGATCCCAGGGTGTACGTGTTGTCGTCGTTGGGCGGCTTCGGAAGATCAGGATGCCTGTCATCCAGCATGGCCGTCGCCGCAGTCTGTTCTTTGGGAAGAGCGCAAACCCATCCCACCGTGTATCGACTATGGGTTCTGAGCTCGGTCACCGTCTGGGCAGCCATTGAGAGACAATCGGGTGCGTCCTCGGGAGGACGGGTGCGAAGTTGGATGTCAACGGTTGCGGCGGTTCGCCGGATCGCGGGTTCTCGTGGAGGCTTGTGAGGCCTGAAAGACAACCTGGCCGAGAGGCGGATGTCGAGCATTCTGCTCACAGGCGGTATGCCGGTGTCTTGGGCAGCAACCCCGCGCACGGCTTCAGCGGCGCGGCATCCCGCGCACCCACAGCTACTGTGTGCGGCAAACGCCAGGGCCGTCTTGGCGCGTTTTTTGTGCTGGCGCATCACGCAAAATTTGCGGGCGCGTGCCTGGGCGGTAAGAATCAGTAGACGGCGCCATCAAATGCCACAACAGGCCGCAATTGAGGCTATTCGCATCGCTGTGGCGATTGATTTTGACTGTTTTGTTGTTGTTTCTGTTTTTTGACTGATCTTGACCGCCTGCGGGCGCGCGCGCGCTGTTAAGATGGTCCGTTACCTCAACGCCGACCAACCCGCTATTATCCTCCTGATACTTGACGCTGGCGAGCCTCTTGTTGATATCGCCTACGCCACTGGGTGTTCAATACGGCACTGTCGTCGTCTGAAACAGCGGCACGATGTATCCGGGGAACCGTTTGCGCAATCGAATAGTCGTTTCAATGCGGTAACGCTGGAGCCGTGGGTGGTGGAAGTATGTGCGCGCCCCTGAATCCGCCTCTGGACACGACCCCTGAATAGACTTGTCAAACTAACGCACTTGTGGCTGCAGAAGTTGAAAGAGCACCTCGAAACGAAGCCCGACTTATATATCGACGAAATGCAAGTCTTCCTAGTCGAAGAGTATCAAGTATTCGTTAGCCACACGACGATCCGAAAGCGATTGAAACAAGCGGGCTGGACCAACAAGAAACTCGCCCGCAAGCCCTCTCAACGCAGCGAACCACTTCGCCTCGACTGGTGCCGTAAGATATCGCAGTTTACCGCCGAGATGTTCGTGTTTTGCGATGAATCTGGAACAGATAGGCGGGATGGAATGCGGCGTACTGGGTGGGCACCGAAGGGTATTACGCCGTACGTAAACTTGATGGATCGCGGTAAACGCTTCCACACAGGAGTGACCGTGCCCGCGCGCAGCGGGCACGCCAAAGGAGCCTGGAGGAACTTGCCGGCTGCAGATAGGCCCCATAGCGGAGTCAACGATGTAATTGTCATTTTTTCCATTTCATGATGGTTATTGACGAATGCTGAGAAAGTAAGGAAATGTGGTTTCTCCAGTCAGACTAGCGTCTAATCGTACAGTCGCGCCCTCTTTTTTCCCGCTGTAGACCTTTTGCTTCGGATCGGCTCCGGAGAAGTTTGCTTCTTTCTCTTTCTTGTTGGAGTGGTGTCCACCGGAGCGAGTTGATCTTCCAACAACTGCTCTGCGTTTGAACCGTCGTCGGTGTGATCGGTATCTTGTTGGTGGTTAGCTCAGTTAGCTAGCTCGAGGGAAGCCATACCTGGGCTTGAAATTGTAAGCACTGGCTCGGCGTGGGTTGTGGCCGAGTTCGGCGGTGCTTCAAGGGTGGCCGGTGGCTCGGTTGCCTCATGATCCGGATGCTTCCGGGGCTGTGCCGGGTTTTTTTCTTTATTTGCCAATGAGTTTTGGCCGCCAACGGGTGAGGAGAATGGGTTCCAGCTTGTGATTCCTCGTGGACCGGTTGAGCGTGGTGTTGTGGGCACTGTGCTAGGTCGTATGGGTGTCGTGTTGTGAGCGGCTAAACTGCTTTGTCGAATAGACTCCCAGTCGTCTGGAAGAACTACTGGGATGCGAACGCTTGTGTCGACGAGTTGAGGGCCTTGGATGAGGTTTCGATCGAGAACTCCTAGGAGGCGACCGTTGCATGCGATCCAGGATCCTCTTGGAAATGGGTTGACAGCTGTTCGCATCCAGCCGGCTAACGACTTCCACGGTTGTTGTTCAACGGGAAAGACGAAGGACAGCAGCGTGACGGCAACTATCCGGGGCAGGCAAGCGAATCTGTCTTCTGCGCATGACGATGGGCGTCATGGGAGCCCACAGCGGCACATTCACAGAGACGGAGGGTCAGCGGACGAAGTCGGTCTGGGCGGACACATGCAGCTCGAGTTGGGCCGTTATGCGACGTACGTCGATGTCGCCTTTGGGCTTACGAGGCACTGGACCCTAAACAAGCTCCAGTCGCTGGCGGTATTGATACCAGCAGCATTCCTTGACGACCGCGGCACGCGGCTGCAGGAAGAGGGGGGCTGGCAGCACTTCCAGTACGTCGGCGGCGAGGGCGGCACGGGCAAATCTCGCGTCATTCATGCAATTCACGATGGGAAGCCTTAGCAAGCACACCACCACCACTATCAAGCACACCGCTATTCCTGACTGGGAAAAGCGAATATGTCACACTGCAGCAGTACAAACTAAATTCCTTTGACAGCTGCCAGGCCAGCCGCAGCCCGCCACAGTGCCAGCAGCAACCACAACAGCATCAACCGAACAAATCGTAGATAACGCAATTCTGCTGTATTTCTGCTGTTCTGAAATATGCTAACGATTCATCAAAGCATCAGCCGCGTCTGCCGCCGGCTGGCTAATTCCCCAAAGCAACAGCATCTTCCTGATCCTCGCGGGCAGCTACTTCGGCTGCCGCTAGCGCCCGATCATGGTCATCTTCAATGTCGGGATCCAGGGCATCTAGGCCATCGATGAATCGACTGGAGGCCCGCGGTGCCGCTGTGCCGGGTTCGTACGAGTCTCTCCCAACCTGGCGCAGGCGCTGCAGACCGAGTTTTGTACTTGTAACCATGGAATTGGCTGTGGCGCCTTTGACCGAGGTCATGGCGACCACAATACAGTCCTCAATGCGGTCCTCAACGGAAGTCTGCGTTTGGGCGCTCCACTCGGCATCACGGCGCCGACCCCGAAGTCCCTGCTGAACTTGCTCTATCCTGCTGCTGCCCTCAATAGCTCGGCCCTGCCCTAATCCCAATGCTGCTGGCGCTGTTGATGGCGGCGGCGGCGCTGGCCCGAATCGCTTCGTTGAGGCCGCGCCGGCCTGTTGCTGCTGCTGCTGCTGCTTCGGCGCCGGTACTGCCGTGGTTAGTTCGTCTTCGATGTTGTATTCGAATGCTGACGGCAGCCGCTTGGTGCTGTTGACGCCAGCGCCCTTCTTCCTGGAAGCAGCAGAGGTAGTGGCAATTGCCCCAACAGGGCGGCCCTTGCCCTTCACCTGACGAGGATCCAACGGGATGTCTGGCATCGGCATAATCCCAACCACTTCAACATTGGGATTTCTACTGTCATCATCGCCAACATGCTGTTGTTCCTGCGGCCGCCACAACCACCAATGCTTGTGAATCTGCTGTATGGTCACTGGCTCGTCGCCAGTCAGATGTCGGTATAGAATATGCCGACAAGGGAGCCCGTGAGTGGCCTGGATTGTACAGGTACAGCTTGTAGTCAGGGGACCATTGTTTGCTGGAAGAGAGCTGACTTCATTCGCTAATAGCTGCAGAGCGGTCGGCGAGACTTGCCCACGAATCCAACTGAAGACAACACTTGTTAGGTCAACCCTGACCTTGTTGGTGGCTTGGGCATGTTCAATATCAAAACTGGCGCGCTGTTGTTGCTAGAACAGCATTAGACGCCCGAATACGCTCTTGAGGTCGGCCCTAGAAGAAACAAGGTATTTCTTGATCGCAGCATGGGAGGATTCCACTGCTTGAGTAGTGGTGTGGCCCATGTGTGGTACTTGGTTAACCCAAAACGTGACCAACTTCTCCTGTAGGGCGTTAGCGACCGTCAACAACACCATAGGCACCCAAAGACCACGCTACCAACCTTCCAAGGTTCGATCCATGTTGCTACAGCGTAATCTACAGCTGCATCTGGATGCCGGCCCGGTGTTCTGAACTTGGCCAGGTTCTTGTTGAAGTCATCCTCTGTAACGGAAGCAAGGAGAGCATTCCATTCTTTCAGGAATGTCTTAAAGGTCGGATGATAATTAGAATCAGGGTCTGAAAGCATACCTGACAGGTTCAGCGGCAGCAGGCCGTTAATTGGAAGCGGAAAGTTAATGCTGTGGCAGTAACACTGCTGTGAAGATGGCTTTGGGGAAGAATTCAATTGCGCTGTTGGCCCACCTGGCAGCTGTCAAAGAATTCAGCTTGTACTGCTGCAGTGGGGCACACGCGCTTTTCTTAGTCAGGAATAGCGGTGTGCTTGATAGTGGTGGTGGTGTGCTTGCTAAGGCTTCCCTTCACGATATGTTCCGGTTGAAGGATGGTCTCCACACCCTGCTCTTAACGGGCGCCAGCGGCAACGCGGCGGCGCTGATCGGCGGGGTGACGCTGCACTCGGCGACGAACATTGGATTCGAGGGCAAGAACGAGGTGGCAAGAAACGTTTCGGAAGAAGAGAAGCTGCGTTGGAAAAATATGGTCATGTTGATCGTCGACGAGATCAGCCAGGTGGGCGGACTCACGCTCGCGGCGGTAGACAACCGTCTGCGGCAGTACAGGGAAGACCAGTATCGCCCGTTTGGCGGGATCCCAATGGTCTTGTTCTTCGGCGACTTCTTCCAATTCGATCCCGTTCTGCAGACCAGCCTCCTCTTGCCAATGCCTAGGGACCGCGGCGGACAGAGATCAGAGAGGGCTGCAAGGCACCTAGCTGCGCACAAGCTGTTCCTCCAGTTCACGGCCGTCGTCATCCTCCGCGAACAGGTCCGCGCGGCCGGCTGCCCAAGGCTGCGGGGCTTCCTCCGGCGCCTGCGCAATGGCGATCAGACCGAGCAGGACTTCCAGCGGCTGAGCCAACGCCTCTATACACCGTCGTGTAAGTCCCCCTTCGTAGATGGACTGAGAGCCATCACGCCCTTGAACCAAGACCGGTGGGACCTGAACATGGCAGCCGTCGTCCAGTGGGCTCGTGCCCACGGCAAACACATCTCCATCTTTGTGGCTAAGCATGACACCGAATCGGGGAAGCGGCTGCGCGTCGAAGAGCTGGGGGACGTACTCCGCCACGGAGACGACTCACAGCTGCCGACCCCTGGCCTCTTCTTTTACGCCTAAGGCATGCCGGTCGTGGTGACTCGCAACCAGTTTGTCGGGCTGAAGGTCGTCAACGGGTCAACGGGGCACCTTTCATGGCCGTCGACATCTTCCCCGACCTCGCGTTTGGCACCATCGCCCTCACTAGTGACGTGACTCTCCATCTCGGACCGCCGGTGGCCGTCCTCCTCCAGTCGGACGATAGCGCGGACCTCGCCATACCCGGGCTCCCCAACGGCACCATCTTAGTCAAGAGCAAGACGGTCGCCATCCTGTCACGGTTATGGTCGCGTACCACGCCCCGATGAGGGCACGCGCGGGAAGCGTTCCCAGCCAATCATTAAGAATGGGTCTCAGACCAATCAGCAGAGGAACGAAGGGAACGGCTACCGTTCCCAGGATCCAGTTGGAACGAGAGGAACGATCACCGTTCCTCACGTTCCCAGCAAAAGGTACGCCGGTACCTAGGAAGCCTAGATAGTATATAGTCGCCCGTTCTGGAGAGCTCTGGGAGTTCTCCAGTTAGCAATCACAACTACAGTTCGCTACAAGCTCGAAAGCCTACTGTTGAGACAAGTCTTTGTTGTGCACCCTTTGGCTGCACCGAACCTAAGCACCCTTGAGAGATTACCTTCAACCGAAGCTGAACCCTAACAGGACAGGGTCCTGAAGTAGGTTCGTCACACAAGACCACAGGCACGAGCCGTGGTTTCAGGAATGGGATGCCATGGCCGAATCAGTGCAGGCCACTGAAGCAGCTGACGAAGAAGCGGTTGCGTCGCTCTAGTAGTAATAGTCAACCCATAATAGGTGTCGACCCTGAACACCTCATTTTCGCCACTTTTTGACAGAAATTTGATTTCTTGGTTCGTGATTGTCGAGGATTGCGCGACGGAGGCACAAAGGCACGAGCGAAGCAGCGAGTCACAGGGGCCCTGATGCCAAAGTGCGGGTAAGCGGCTTTTTTCCGGCGATTTGATTGGCCAGAAGAAAGCAACAACGGTCCGTGCACCTCCACCGCCAAGACCAACTGCGAGATGCCAATTCGACGAAGCAGAATGCAGATGACGCCAGACTTCGAGATGCTATCGAGAGGTCGAAAAGGGGAAAAAAGCCAAAATTCTACAGTGAGAAGTCGACAGTACAGGTTAGAAATGACACCTTTTTTTGGGTTTTTTTTATGGAGACAAGAGGGACCGTGCCCGCTGCGCGCGGGCCCGCCAAAGGAAGCCTGGAGGAACGCGCCGGCGCAGCTAGCTTGCGGCCGCAATACAATGCTGTCGTGCGATTAGTTTCAGGCCGCTTGAGGAATGTTGAGAAAGCAAGCAAAGGCAGTTGTTTGGTCAATCTCAAAATCTAGTCATACAGCCGCGCCTTCTTTCTTCCCGCTGTGGATCTCTTGCTTCTGGCCGGTTCCGGAGAGCTTGGTTCCTTCCTTTTCTTTGTCGGGGTACTGCTGCTCGAGACGAGTTGAGCGTCCAATAGCTCCTCTGTGTCCGAACCATCGTTCGAGTCATCGCCATCTGGATCAACGGTTAGGTGAGCCGTGGGTCTGGTAGGCGGCGATACAACCTGAAGATGGACCTGTGGGCATCTGATCGGGATCGGCCGTGATCGAGTCTAGCTGTGCTCCAGGGCTGGATGGTGGTTCGATCGCTTCGCGTTCTGCGGTTTCTGGGGCAACCGGCGAGGAAGATGGATTCTGAGGCGAGGAAGTGGGATTTTGAGCACGGCCTAGTGAAGAGAACGGGTTTCTGCTTGCGACTGCTCCGGGGCCAGCCGATCGTGGTGTCGTTGGTAAGTTGCCGACAGGGTCCGATGATTTCGGCGTGGGTGTATTGTTGGTTGACGGGGAATTCTGCCGAATGAGTTCCCAACTGTCGGCGAGAATCACCAGAATTCGAACAGTGGGATCGGCTTTCCGAGGGCCTTGGATCAGGTCGCGGTCTAGGACCCCCAGGAGTCGACCACTGCACGCGATCCACGATCCCTTGGGAAAGGGGTTCGCGGCGGTTCGCATCCACCCGGCCAGAGACTTCCAGGGTTGCTGGTCGACGGGGAAGAGAACGAGGACGTGGCATATGTGTATGCCCTCGCGAGGAGGGCGGTCGTTCTCTGACTGCAAGTAAGACCCGAGTTTGACGAACACCGAAGTCTTGACCAGCGGCCTCGGCCAGACTCCTTGCTTGATATGGAAGGTATCTAGATCGACGGGCCGGGCAAAGGACACATGTGCTGAAGTGCTTGGCCACGGAGCTGTCTGGTCGGGACCACCGAGCTGGCGGGGGATGACACTTAGAAGTGTTAGCAGCCAGGTCCTGCTCCCGTGCAAAATGATGGGGCGTACGGAGTCAAGCCGTCATCGCGCGGCAGTGCCAGTGCCACCTGTGCAGATTGCGATTCGTCTGTCTCCCACCCGCTGAATCCTACGCCTTGGAATGTGAGTTTGTTTGGGAAAAGTCGGGCGACGATACTGAACCATTTCCCTTCCCAATCCTCTTCCAGGGTTTCTATTTTTGCTTCGGCGTTCAACATGGAGAGTATCAAGGAAGTCCCGATGTCTCCTCGTCTTCGGTACTCAGGAGGCGCGGGTAGAGCTCTTGGATAAAAGCGGGTTGGATGAATGATAGGAAGGTCCCGGCTTTGAAGTTTCCTGCACTCGTGTATCGAGAGCCAGATGGGAGGATGTCGCACTGGGCCAAGTCGGAGTGGTAGGTGACGATGAGATCCGAACCGATTGTCCCTTGGTCTCGTTTGTTTGGCCGTGGGGGGATCGGGTAGACGGCAGAGACGGAAGAAGCCATGGCGGCGTTAGTAGCGTTCCAGCTTCTATCAATAACGAATTGAGTTCTAGGAGAAAGGCTGGAGGGACAGAGAATGTCGAGTGCTGTTCCTTGAAGAATAAATGCTGAACTCACTGTGGGGAAATCAATTACTGCTTTTGGTAACGATCTAACCTTGCCTTCCATATAACACGCCGCGACACTAAGCGGGGTTCTGAAACGCAATCTAGCAAGCCATATCGTCATATCAGGTATCGAATCGGCAGACTTGGTAAGGATTCTCGCTCGAGAGGTGATGACACAGACGGAGTGTGTTTCGAGAATATCTTCACAAACGCGATAGGTTTGGTTTTGAGGGCGGAGACGCTACAATCCGTAGGTCTTTGCTTATGTGACACTAACAACAGCGACTGATGCTGTTTCGAGAATCAATCTGGAGGCTGTGATCCGCATTGACATGCATTGTGAAGAGGGTTCTTTGGAGCGGCTTGTCGCATACGTCTTGGGGTTATGTGGTAAGGCCTCCAACTATGTCTGTGGCTCCAAGAGAAAAAAAAGGGGGTGTTGAGAAGTGTGTGGAGCGGTGAACTGAGAGTTGGACGACGGATCTATATTTCCAGAGCAATATAATTATTATTATTCATACTCCGCTATGCCCTAGGGCGTGCCGGACCCTCTGCTATTTAGTGTACAGGAAAACCGTGCCCTCCCGGGCCGGGTGAAAAACCCATACCAACAATCAAGGAGCGATGCGTTCTGGTGAGTCTGCGTCTACAAAGAGAGGAGGCCTCCTAGCCTCCGAACGGGGGCGCTTCAGGCCGCCGCTTCCAGCTCGAGCCTCCTGGCTAAGTTGTACATCGGCAGCTTCCCCGAGTCCATCAGCCAGTCGAGAACTCTCCTCGCGAGCCGTGCAGTCGTGGGATTGATGCCGTGTAGAACAGAGTAAAAGTCCCGTCGTGTCCGAATTCCAGTTCTCTCCCATCTTCTAGTCAACGGTGGGGCCAAACACCACACTACCAGGTGTTCGGCAGTCTCTCGTCCCTCGCCACACTCGCAGGCAGGAGTCAGAACCTCCGGGACTCCCCGTGTAAACAAGAAGTCCCGTAAGCCTATTGCTCCCGTCCGGATTTGAATCAGCAGTGAGCTCTTTGCCTTGCTGAGACCGTCGTGCCTCCTTAGGGTTCCGTTCCGGAATAGCGTCTCCTGCTGATGGTCAAAGTCGTCCGCCGGCCTGGTGATTGCCCTGCCGTCCCGTTCCTTTAACCACCTCGCTTTCCAGGCGTTTTCTACTACCCTGTCCGTGTCTGCGATCCCCCCCGTCCAGCGCGCGATCCTACCCGCGGCTTTCTCCACCGCCGTGGGCTCCCGTAGCCCTACGGTTCGCGGCCGGCCCCTGTTGCCGCTCCTCGAGCGTAGCCTCTGCTGTATCTTGCTACAGGCGGTAAGAATAACGCTCCCTGCGGTCTTTTTGACACCCTGGCCGTCGTCCAGGTCGGTTCGCTGGAGCCTGGTCTCAAAGTCCGCAAGCCGTTTGTTGGAATATAGGTCCAACGGCGGCACCCATGTCTCCGTCTCGAGGTTGCGGATGGGAGTGTGCTTGTAGGCTCCCGCTACAATCCGCAAGCTTTTGTTCTGGGCCTTCCCGAGGGCCTTGGTGATGCCTTTCTTTACCGGCTCGCCTCCCACATCCGTGGGGATGTGGAACGACGATGCGCCATAGGCCAGCGCTGACCGGATGCACTTTTTGTACACTTCTCGCGCTTTGGCTAGCCCCAGTCCCCACGTCGACTCCGCTAGCCTCGACAAGGCATAGCTCTGGGTCCTCAGCTTCCTCTCCACCGCTGCAAGGTGGGCTTTCCAGTTGAGCTTCCGGTCCAGCCAGACTCCCAGGAACCTGGCAGACTCCTTCGGTCTGACGGGGCTGGTGCCTCTCCCTGGGCTGGTGAGTTCCAGCTGGTTTGACCACTGCCGTCGTCCCTTAGACCAACTTTTATATAGAACTCTAGTAACTAACTTGTTGTGTGGCGCTGTAAACTCAGATTGTAGGCTCTTACTTTCAAGTTTTGTGCTAACAAACAAACAGGGAGCGTACTCCGTACTATCCTCATTTCTGAAAGCTCGTTAGCCAGCCTCCGCAGCAACAACGAAACCAGCAGCATAGGACTCATAACGTTCTCCCCATCTTCCTACCCTCCCTCCCTACCACCACCTCTCCCCTATGTTCTCGCCCTTCCACTCAACCCCACCAAAAACACACCCGCATTCCCTCTGATCGGTTTTACCGTCATTCGTTCAGACTTTGCTTGCGTTTCAGTCCCGAGTCTTTCGATTTCCCCGCGTTGCCCGATGCCTGTGGCCCCTGTGGCCCCTGTGGTAGGTCTCTAACTAAAGTAATACCCAGCCAATCAGTGGCTGGATGGATGGATGGAATTTATTTCGCCCGGAGGCACTGGGCCTATAGGGCCTTAGCACGCTAACTACATCCGGATCAAATCGTTTTGCCTTTAACTCGTACAAGCGCGAAACGCAGATGGATGGATGGAATTTATTTCGCCCGGAGGCACTGGGCCTATAGGGCCTTAGCACGCTAACTACATCCGGATCAAATCGTTTTGCCTTTAACTCGTACAAGCCCCCTACTTCTTCCCTCTTTCTCGCTGCACCATTTACCTCTTGCCTTGGTCCAATCAGTGGCATTGGTACAGCGGCTCATGCTTCAAAAGGAAAATAAAGTTCCGCACAACATCCCTGCCGCCTTACATGCTGCACCTCACCTTGCAGGCGGCACCTTGCATCTTGACGGCGTGAGTGGGAGATAATCAAACAATCCTCCCGACGACGACTAGCGCCGCTTGCGATTGCCTATAAAATGGCCAGTCCCGAGCCGCCTTGTAAAAGCGTAAGCTTTCATCCGGCTGTCCAGTTTGACAGACCCCGAACTGCCCGACACCGTCCCAAAGCTCTCACGATAAGTACCGAAATCTTCAGGGAATTTCACTCCCACGACATTCCAGACACGGTCCTCATCCAGGCCGCCGAGCTCTTTAGTAACCACTACGGCATCTGGAACACGCCTGCCGGTAGCCCGGGTGGCAAGCTAGGTATGGTCGCTTTCACCTTCCAATGGATATCCTATAGGCTATGAACTTGGTTTGCTGATATAGTCATCGTTCGTCAGGGACTCGTATTAAATTGAACGTGTCTCGGCTGCGGATCCATAATTTGCCGCCTGGTGCCCGCTGCTCCTACGTCAGTGTCCATGTCGACGAAGCCCTTGCCGGAAATGTGTTTGCTTGCCGCTGGGAGTACCGAGGCCGACAGGTCTGCTGGATAACCCAACTTGTTGTCCACCGTGAGTATCGGGGGCGTGACGAACCTACTTCAGGACCCTGTCCTGTTAGGGTTCAGCTTCGGTTGAAGGTAATCTCTCAAGGGTGCTTGGGTTCGGTGCAGCCAAAAGGTGCACAACAAAGGCTTGTCTCAACAGTAGGCTTCCGAGCTTGTAGCGAACTGTAGTTGTGATTGCTAACTGGAGAACTCCCAGAGCTCTCCAGAACGGGTGACTATATACTTCCTAATTCCTGGGTGCTCAGTCTGCTCAGTCACTGAGCACACTGAGCACATTGCTCTCCTTGTTCAGTCGCTGAGCACACTCAGCACATTGCTCTCCTTGCTCAGTCGCTGAGCATACTGAGCACTCTGCTCATCCTGCTCAGTCACTGAGCATACTGATGCTCATCCTGCTCAGTCACTGAGCACACTAGCACATTGCTCACCTTGCTCAGTTGCTGATGGATGGATGGATGGAATTTATTTCGCCCGGAGGCACTGGGCCTATAGGGCCTTAGCACGCTAACTACATCCGGATCAAATCGGTTTGCCTTTAACTCGTACAAGCCCCCTACTTCTTCCCTCTTTCTCGCTGCACCATTTACCTCTTGCCTTGGTTGTTGTTAGCAGATCAACTTGGAGGCTACTTTCTCCAAGTGTTCAGCGTCCTATCTTCAGCAGCTAAAGCGGGACCTGCTGGTTAAGGCTCGTGGTTGAGGCTCGTGGTGTTGAGTGTCGGCTTCTTCTACTGTGACTGGTCTAGACTCTCCTCCTCATTCAGCTCCAGCCTTCCTGTTGCCATTGCGTATTTGATCGTCGCCCGGACTGCCTTCATATCTGGTGACCAATGCCTTGTATCTGATGGCGCTTTCCCTCCCAGATAGAACGAGAGGCTTCCTCGTCTTGCCACTGTGCATTGCAGCATGTCTTCCCTCAGAGCTGTCCATCTCACGCATCGGAAAAGAAAGTGTTCCACTGATTCCCTCGCTTGTCCACAGGCACAAAGGTCTGACTCGACCGCCCCAATCCTGCTCAAAAAACCGTTCAGTCTCGCCATTCCGGTTCGGAGCTGCGCCAATACGCAGGCCTCCCTTCGCTTCAGCTTGTCATAGAGATGGCGCGTGTGCTTGCCTGGTAGTGCTGCGTCCATGGCCTTTGAGAACTTGCCCACGCTTACAGGTAGAACTCTTGTCGCCCGTTGTCTTTCCATTGCCAGCCTCATCGCGGTAGACTTGGCCTGGGGTATTTGGGAGTCGGGTGTGCGTCCTTGCTTCGACGCTCTCTGGGCTGCTGCCTTGGCATCTGACCCCAGCGCGAAGTCAATCTCCGCTGGTATCCACAGAAAGTTGACCGAGTTCCCTCTTTGTCGGTGCAGCCTGGCCAAGTTCAGTCGCTGAGCGTACTGAGCAGCCGCTGATTGGCTGTACTAACGATTGGTCTGGGGCGTCCAGTGCCCCACTCTTGTGCATTCAGCATGGTGGTTTGTGGCAGGGGGCGCCGGCACGCGACTCGGCTCATCGAGAAACTCCGAGATATCGATGATGAGATCTTTGGCATCATGAGCTCCCATCCGGCCGCTTGCATTGCCGCTTCCAAAGCGTGTGCTGGTGAGCCAACTGATAGCCTCCTACCCCACTCCTCGTCGCCACCACGTTCTGACTCGAGCCATTAGACTTCCCCCTTCCGCAAATCTCACGCGAGTTCATCCAGCCTTGTGCGAAGGACGTCATGGCTAGCTCGCCCATTCCATACGTTCGAGATACCAAGCTCCGCGGCGCCCTCTTCAGCGACTCCGCGACAGATACCAAAGGGCTGGTCTCGGGCGCCGACACTGAGTTTTATGTCGACCACGAGGAGCCTCTCAGCGCTCTTGCCTGGATTCGCGTCTATACCGAATGGCCCCTTGGTGACTTACCCGACGGTCACGAATTTCTCATGTGTGAGTCAACGCGCCGTCATCGGCCGCGTTCTCTCCCTGGACGAACAGTCGATTTATTAGCATAAGAGGTGCACCCACCCACTGAGACGGCATGAAGAAAAAGGAACGAAAGCAAATAGTATACGTAATCCGGGCCAAGTACCACACTCGCATTAAACTATTCTTAGCCCTGGCAAAGCGACTGGCGACCCCAGACGCCCGCTTACCCCCTGGCGCCTCTTCCCCACGGGGAAGTTGAATCTATCGAAGCCACCCCCAACTCACATGACGACCCTTGGAAGCGTTGGTACAGTTGTATGGTCCACCCACGTGGATCCCCGCCTCGCCCGAGTTGTCACGCCAATGGTTTCTTTCCGAGAAACCTCTCCCGCGGGAGAGGCCCGAACCGGTACCAGGCATTGCTAACTTGAATGCCAGTTGGTTGGTTGATTTACGTAAATATGCCCACGGAACCTCAGGGATGGGCAAGCCACGAAAAGGACGTGTGGAACAGGCAACAAGAAGTAATATTCCCTTAAAACAGCGCGGTTGGTTCGGGTCACGGGAAGGGGTTGACGTTCTCGAGCTCTGGTCCCAAACCGAAGGTGACTGAAAACAACACGCGGTCCGGGCTGTCTTGGATCTCTAGGGGCTATTGGTGAGTATACCTTACCAAGACTCTGGTAGCGTCAATGTCAGTATCGTTATCTAATGCACCGGAGAAAGCGGGTTCGTGAGAGTTTCCATCTCCCCCAATGGATGCCATTTTCTCCAACAGCTGCAGCCAAGCTCAACTGCCGTGCAACCGAACAATCGACGATGGCATGGTTTCCGTTTACCTCATGCCTGCAGCCACATCCCTTTCCATCGCAGCCTCCTCAAGAGCATCCCCCAGACAGATTCCCGTTGGACATCGGCTAAGCCGGGTTCCGAGGTCCATCTTCCGCGCAGGACGGGGGTTCATTCCAAGTTCCAACCTCCAACACCCGGGCAGTTCCCGCCCACCAGCGAGCCAGTGATATGAACCCCAACCCCAACCAGACCAAACTCGATCAAGAACCAACCGAGAAGGGAAGTGGTTGTAAAGGGCAGGTCACAGAACACAAAAAAAAAAAAAAAAAAATAGATGCCGGTTCACCGGTCCCTCCCAGCAGCAGCATCCCCAACTCCAAAGTCCATGTGCCAAATAAGCGTCGGTGTCCACCCTCCAAGTCCGTCCTCCCACACCCCTGTATCACCACCGGGTCCCCACCCCCACACCCCAAAATATGCGCGTAAACTTGCTCGCCCGGGCACCGGGGTCCTGCGGCAGGGCGTCTGTGCAGGCCTTTGCCTGTCTGCCTTTTCATTCCCCCAACCCACCCGCCACGCCACGCCCACACCCACGTATCATGTATGTACCAACATGGCGAAGCGGGGCAACTCCTCTGGCGGGGGGGCATTTCGGGAGCCCACCGCGTGCGTGACAGATGGGGTGGGAAAGAAGGGGTTTGGCGTGGAACCTGGGTTGAGGTCAGCTGGCCCCTCTCTGGCGCCACCGTGGAAGGAGAGGGGGTGCTTCAGGGTGGTGGGGACGTTGAAGACTAGGGGGGAGAAGGGGGGAAGACCAGTGTAAGCGCTTAGAGACAGATAAGTAGTTAAATACTCCCGTGACCCCTCTCTCAGTTCCCGGATCTCTCTCTCTCTTATCTCTCATCTCGCAACAGACTCAGTCAGTATCTCAACAGCGAAAGCAACACTTACCAACCATCTACCCACCACCAACCCAAACAACCATCACCATGTGCGGAAACGGAGTTTGCAACTGCGGCGACAGCTGCTCGTGCACCGGCTGCTCCTCCCACCCCTAGAGGGGGTAGGCACCTCTCCACACAAAGGTATGCTCTCCCACCTCGGCTTCCTTTTGTAAGAGGCATTGAGATTGACATGTAAGCCCAGGTCAGGGTGGTTAAGTGTACGGCGGCGGCGGCAGGTTGAGGCGTTTGGTTCAGGTGAAGGCGGCTTTTTGGTGGGCGGCTGTTGTGATCGAGCATGAGAATACCTAGCATCAATCGAATTCGTTGACGCACCATTTCTGTCTGTTGTGAAAGTGGCAACGCAACATATGATGCGCCCATGCTGGACCGAGACATGACAGTGACAGGCAATCCACAACTCCCAACAAACCAGACAAGATCATGCCATTACTAGAAGCCGAGTCCATCCCAAACTTGCGGCCCAAGAGCGTATGAATACAGGTGGTATCAGAGCGACGCCGTGAAAGACAACCTTTGAAGAACAGAGAGAGCAACCCACAACACGCAGAAACAAGGGACCGAGTACGGCGCATCCACGTACATACCGGCCATCCCCCCCCCCCCCCGCCCCCTACCCCCGAGCAGAATACAAAGAGCACAGCACATCCCAGCCGGGGCGATTACCAGAGAGCCCATTAACGCCGCCATGCAAATCAGCAAAAACAGAGCTCCGGAGCAAGGTATCGTATCAAGCAGATAGTCCCAGTAACCAACCCACATCCACGTCTCTCACTCACCCCATGGTCATATCATCATCTCGCTCTCTCACTTCTCACTTCTCTCTTCTGTGCTTCAAACCCTCACTCTCTCACGCCCCTCTCACCACCCCAGCCAGCCCCCTCAACACCAACCTCACTCCACTCCCACCCCATTCAACACCATTCAAGCCCAGCCAACAAGCCAACCAGCCAACCAGCCCAGGCCAACCGCCCGAAAGGAGACTACGCAATCCTATTGTGCACCTCCCTCAGCCGCTTGACCCAGTGCCTTCGCAGGACATCGGGCATCTTGCAAAACACCATGGCCTTGTTCTCATCGGTAAGAACCTTCTCCGCAATCTTGAGCTGTAGGTCCATGTCCTCGGCGACAAAGTCACGGAAGAACATGTCCATGGCCTGCTCCTGCCACCCGGGGCTCGGCTTATTGGGCCCCCCGCGCCCCGCCGCGCCACCGCCGCCGCCGTTGTTGCTGTTGTTGCGCAGCGCTTCCGCGAGGAAGTGCAGCGCGTCGGCGAGCGCCGTTGAGCTCCCTCCGACGACGCCGGCTCCGCCTCCCCCTGTCCCGCCGGGGGTTGTGGTCGGTGGGAGTATCGAGGGGTTAATGGAGGACTGCGGGAGAGTCGTCGGGGTCGTGATGGTGTTTTGTTGAGGCGGTGGGGGTTGTTGTTGCTGCTGTTGTTGCTGTTGCTGTTGCTGTTGCTGCTGCTGCTGCTGCTGTTGTTGTTGTTGCTGCTGCTGCTGTTGCTGTTGAGTCAAGTCGAGGTAGCCCGGGGCAGCGGTACGACGGCGCTTGTCGGGGGGGTGACCGGCCGAGGAATTGCTATCTGGCGCCTGCAAGCGCTTGCGAGACTGAAGGGCCGTCTCCTCGGGCGGGGTTAGCGCCGAAGAGGAGGAGACCGAGGACCGCGCCGGTTGCGGTGGTGGCGGCATCGTATTCGCTGGGGCCCTGTGTTGTTGAGGCGGGGGGTGGACGCCCATCGGAGCGGTCATGGCGGGCTGCATCGGCGGTGGGATGTGCGTCTGGCTGGGGTTGATGTAGGCCGTGTCGGTGAGCAGGTCCATGATGGCAGTCCCTGGCGCCTCTGACTCTTCTGTCCCGTTGGCCGTGTCGGTCCCCTTCCGGCGCGGTTTCGTCAGTCGTTTCGGCGCGCCGCCGGAGCCGATGACGTCGGGAAACAGGATCTCGTAGTAATCTTCATGCTCGAATGGTCGGGCGCGGAGGGAGCGAGCGAGCGGCTCTTTCTGTAGTCACCAAACGTGGTTAGTCTTGGTCCCGTCCCCACGCCCACGGGGGTGCGGCGCGCTGCTGCTGCGTACCTGGAGGTGGCGCGACCATGCGTCATCGGTGGCCGTCACGGTGCGGGTTTGAGGATTGTAGTAGAATTCGGGGTCCTCGCGCAAGCCGCGCCAGAGGCGATACTTCTTCCGGGCATTGTCGGTCTTGTTGATGAGATGGCCCTTGTTGGCATATGCGTTGTGCTTCTCGATGAGGGCGGCCATGGCATGCTCCCACGCTTCGGGCTTGAAGGTACTACCATCACGCAGGCCGAGCGAGACAGACTCGCAGAGGGAGCGAAAGAAGGTGGCCTCGTACTGAGGATTCCAAGTGAACCGAGGCCCTCGATGCTTGCCCGGGCCAGCCACCCTACCGGTGCCTCCGCCGGCGGCCGAGAAGTCCTCGTCGGACATGGCAGTCCGCGCGGGTGGAACCCTCCGGGTCGGCGTGGAGGAGATCGCACGGTTTTTGGTTTTTAGTCGTGCGACTCGGAACGAAGGTGGACGGGTGTGGCCGTCGTAGCGGGCAATGGAGTTTGGCGACTGACTGGGGGGGCGGCACTCAGACTGAAGCGGAAGGGCGTGAAACGGAGGGGGCGATCCCCAACACTAAAAGTGAGTGCGCTGAACCAGAAGCAGTGCAGACCGCGATTTCCCGAGTTCCAAGCGAGAAAAAAAAGCCCCCAAAACTTGGTCTCTCTCGTCGCAATGGAAAGTGCGCCGACTCAGAATGACGCGATAAGAAATCTTCCTATGAAGGACATCTCCAGATTAGACATGTCTTTTCAGCGCCCGGCCGAGAAGTTGCAGGCTGAAAGGGACACCGTTTTTTTGTGGCACTGAGCATTGATGATGGCGCGGATCATTCGCAGAAAGGTTGGACGGTGAAGCGGGGACGCCCGTCTGCTCCGAAACGGACGGCCAGGCCACCACCCATTGAGGGCCTGCGAGAGTCACGTGTTAGACGCGCCATTGCAGTTGGGGGCGGGCGCGGGGTTGTCAGCGGCGAATGACGCGTTCTGCCAGGCTTTTTTTTTCCCCAATCCTTTCAACATGCGGGCAGCAATTTCCATCCTTTGGAAGAGTTGCAGAGTCTTACACAATTCTGTCGACCATCAAAGACTCAGTTTTGTGGCTGGGTCTTTTTGAGAAAAGCAGTGGGTCAATGACGTTCAAGAGGTAAGAGGAGTTCCTGCAGGTATCCCCGGCATCGTACATGTACCAATGTACCTGCATCTTTCCTTTGCGCTCCCGCACATCCATTCCCTGTGCTTGCTTGCTTGCTTGCTTAGCTTTGTGTCTGTCCCGTCCTGAAGCAATGCAATCCGGCAACAAGGTGGTAGCCTTCACTTTAGCACACCCCTCTGCTTTCTTGGCCATTCTTTCACCTGGCTGGGCACTTTCGAATTCTGGCTTTTTACATTCCGTCTTGTGACACGGGATCTCCTGATTAATCCACCACGCATTGATCTGTGATCCATTGATCTGTTGAGTCTTTTGACCTGCCCCAATGGTAGATTAGCTATGCTGGCATGCTGGAATTCTTGTGTAAGAGCCCGTGGAATGACGATGGGGAGAAGCCTGTTTGGGGAATCAATTCATTTTGTCTTTCGCGCTCAAGAAGTTGATCAAGAAGTTTTGATCTGATTTATCTGCTCCATTCTCACCTTCTTTTCCCCTTGGCTTTGTCCTTGGTGACTGCTTCTTCCGACCAACTCTCTCAACGCTCTTTCCAAAGGGCATTCATTCATTCTCCGTTCATCGCATCACCCAACCTGGAACTTGGGTGAATTCCGGACTCTCATGCCCATGCCTGTCACTCTTTGATGTGAATATGTGCCTATCCTCACCCTAATAATAGCCACCCCATTCCCTGCCCCTATTCTCCTTTGGCTGCCATGGCCATGTCGTTCTTTTTCATGAGATTCATTCTCATTTTGCTTTGGGCACCGTCCCTTCTCGCCGCACCCTCCGTCAAGAAACGGTCATTCAAGGTTGAAAGAGTCAAGAACCCCAACTTCAAACGCTACGATGGTCCGAGGGAGCTGTTGAAGACGTACCAGAAGTACCGGATGCCCATCCCGCAAGACTTGCTAGATTCCTTTGACGACCAGCCTGAGGATGGCGCCCCGTCTGATGACGCTCGCTCAGGGGTGGCCCCCCAGGCATTCAAGCTCACCCACGTGGATACCACTACTCGCCCGGTAGCCGCTGTCGGGTCGGTCTCAGCAACCCCTGCCAACGGGGGCATCGAATACATTTCGCCCATCGAGATAGGCGGCCAGATCGTCAACCTGGCACTCGACTCTGGGTCGGCCGACCTTTGGGTCTTCAGCACGCAACTCCCCACATCCTCCAGGGCCGGGCACCGCACGTACAACCACTTTCTCTCGCCCACATTCAAGCAGCTCCCCGGAGCCAACTTCTCTATCCTCTACGGCGACGGTACCAGCGCGTCCGGGAACGTGGGGACCGACATGGTCGACGTCGGCGGCGCCGTCGTGGCAAACCAGGCCGTCCAGATGGCTACCGCCGTGTCGCCCGAGTTCGTCGCGGACACCAACGTCGACGGGCTCCTGGGCCTCGCCTTTTCCCAACTCAGCACGGTCAAGCCGACCAAGCAAAGCACCTTCTTCGAGAACGTCATGCCTTCCCTTGCCCAGCCGCTCTTCACCGTCGACCTGCGCAAGGACACCACCGGCGCCTACGAGTTTGGCCGCATTGATGCTTCCAAGTTTGCGAGGGCGCTGTCATGGATCCCGGCCGACACAAAGAGGGGGTTCTGGCAGGTTTCGTCGACGGGCTTTGGGGTCGGCAGCACCTGGACACAAATGCCGGGTGCGCAGGCTATTGTTGATACCGGCACGACTCTCATGTTGGTCTCGAAGGAGTTGTCGGACGAGTACTACAGCCATGTGGCCGGCGCGAAGCGGAACCCGGCCGCCGGGGGGATGACGTTCCCGTGCAACAGCACGCTTCCGAATCTGTTGGTTGATGTCGGCGGTGTGTACACTGCTATAGTCAGGGGGCCGGATATCAACTTTGGGAGGTTCCAAGACGACGGTAGGCTAGGTATCCTCCCTTTCTGGTACAAGGTTGCTGACCTGAGAATAGAATGCTTCGGCGGCATCCAACGCACCATGTCACAATTTGAGATCTGGGGCGACATCTTTTTTCGATCGCAGTTTGTTGTGTTTCACGGGGGGAACCACTCGCTAGGCATGGCGCCCCATGTTTGACCTTTGGCTTTCTTTGAGTTATAACCTGCTCCAGCGTTGTTTTGCCCAACCCAAGCATGCATGCTTACAACGAAGTAATTTCCAATATCTGATCCATGGTCTCAGTGTCGTGACCTGCCGCTCTTCTCAACATGCCGCTCCCCTTCAACTTGCAAGCGCCCCATCAAATGATTGATTTCCTCCTCCCAGGTACCCAGGTAGATACGTAGCTACAGCTTCATGAACCCAACTTGCTTGAAAAGCTCATGGGCATGCTTCCCATGCAACGGGGTAATACCAAATATATTCCGGGGGTCGATGTCAAGCCCGTTCACGGTCCTCAGGAATTTCAAATCTCCAAGTCGCTAAATTCCACGGCCCAGTGCTCGGGGCTTACCTCCCAATCAGAGATGAGATGCTTGACGAGCTTCACGTTCCCCGACCTGTACGCTGAAAAGAGGACGACCCGGGTACACAAGTTCGCGTGGTCGTTGGTGATGCGGAACCACCGACGTTGTATTGCGTCAAGTTTGAGTTTGGCGACGTTGTCGTTTCCTCCCTGGGTTAGAACCCGGGCCAAATTGGGTAGTTCCCTGAAGAGGAAGTACGCAAACTCCCCTCTGTCGAGCTCGACGAACGGCATGCGGGAGACGGGGTCCCGCACTGCGTCGAAACCCAGCTTGGGGTGGAGACGGTCGTAGTGGTAAAGATAGCCAAAACCGCTATTGAAGACGAGCCATTTCCCCTCGGTTTTGTCGAGATGGAAATGCGAAGGGCTTGCGCTGGTGCTCTCCAGATACTGCTTCACGGAGAAGTGGGCGAAGGAGACTTTGTTGTCTTTCGCCCCCCAATCGTAATAGTTGTCGTCGTTCTCGATGATCACAAGGCCAGATAGGATGCGCTGAATCCACTCGACGCTGGGGAATCGGGTTTCGGGCTCCAACGAGACGTAGTAGTCATCATCGGGGACCGGGGAGCCTTCCGCCTTGCCGGCCCGTTCTTCCGCGTCAGGCGCCATTGTCACCACTGAGGTAAAACGTCGGAGCCAAGAGGGTTTATTGCGCAAAGGTGACGACGAGAGCGACACACGATAGTGCCTACTGCCCGGCTTAGGCTGGTGCTTGTGCTTTGCGGCCTCCAGCATGGCTATTTCGATGGCATCGTTGACTCGCGATCCGCTGAAGGATGCGCTCGTACGTTTCTTGGAGGTCCCCAGGGAGTTGCGAAAGGGCTCGGTCGATGTCTATCTCCCTTGGCTTCTCTCGGAGTTCTTCCAGTTGCAGACACGCCCAACGGAAGCTACCTCCGGCACGGCTGCTGAGGGCGTTAACAACCTTGGTTTGCTGATTCGAACTCCAACTGCGGTAAGGCTCGCGCCTCATGTTCTCAAGGATGTGGTTTTTGATGTCCTTGTCGATCTCCACCTGCACAGAGGCAAGGGAGAGGGTCGTGACCGTGCCACCCGGGAGACCGCGGATTGCAGTGTCGATGTCCCCCTCCCGGCGGCTGGTCATCAAGACGTGGATATTTGGTTGTGGGCCATGAGAGAGCGAGGCTAGGAGGGATATCACATCGGCCCGGTCCGAGGGCGACGGGCATTCGTCCATGGCATCAATGAAGATATAGGTCTCGGCCGATTCCCCGAGTACCTTGGCCAATGTCTTGTCCAAGTCTTCCAGAGTCGGATGGCCCGAAGGGCTGTATTTATCGCAAAGGCTGCAAAAGGCCTGGGGCATGTGGAATTTGCCCTTCTCCCGTGCATCTTCCCGTGTGAGGTGGCGAACAAGCTGAGAGGGGATGGCGTGTTTGACGCAAAAGAGGTCCTGGGCATCCCTCTCCCGGAAAGTGAAGTAGAAAAAGGCCAGCGCTCCGAGATGCTGCTGTTGGATCTCGTCGATGATGATCGAGGTCAGGATGATCTTGCCAGTCCCCACCAGAGAGTGATGATACCAACACGTCAGCTCAGACCTGACCCATCGAAGTGGCGTGGTTCATCTGCGGGTGATGATAATAGCCGTAGAATGTCCGTTGCAGCGGAATGAATGATACTACTAGTGCATACCTTCTCCACAGACCCAGAGGAGCGACCGCGGCATTTGTTTCCAGTCTACAAAAGCCCCATCGATAAACCATTTGCCAGTAAGCAAGGCAATACGCAAGGAACTCTTCTTATTTTATACCTCGGTTAGTCCGCTCACTTTGGCGCTCATCAGGCAACTCTGACAGGCAGTGTCACGTCGAGTTCTTTGACTTGGAAACAGTTTACCTCGGATACCGTCGGCGACCCCGTTGCTCTCCATCTGGTGAAGAGTTTGTGGTACAGCGCGCTCGCCGTGTCTCTCTGCTCAATCGGATCGTCTACTCAGCAGCTGATAGGCCTAAGCCGCCTCAGTACGAACGACGAAAAGGGACTCCCCATGATCCGCAGGCTTCTAAGCGGTTGCCCCGACCCTGACACCCAAATCAGAACCACTGGAGTGTCGGTTCGTATGACCTCTGCCCAGAGCTACACATGGCAGATTCCCGTCATGTTCCTGAACGGGAGCCTGTATCTGTTCACAGCAGGGTTGAATATCCTGGTGTACGACGGGATAAGCTTGTTGGCCTAGGCTCTATCGTAAGGCGTCGCGTGCTGATTAGTTCCAATTCGGCTATAGATGTTATGGCTGCAAATTATTCTGACCAGGTTCTTCTAGGCAACCGTTTTCACATCTGTACTCGCGGTCTCGCTTTTGAGTTTAGGCCTCTGCTCTGTCGGGCTTTACAATGAGGTTCGAAAGCTACGGAGGTGATACTTGAATGCAGGGACTCCGCTTTGAAGCGGTGGTAAAAAGCTTCTCTTAAAGCCTCGAAACCAATAGACCATAGCGGTTGATTCATACCCATCCACGGCATTGCTGCTTTTGGTTGAGCTTGAAGCGTCCCTGTATGGAATTCCGCCTCTGCTAGAACCAGAAAAGGGCCTTCTGGGATATTCTACAAGCTTCAGCTTCGTGCTTTCACCCCTGTTGCTCCCGTGGCGGTTACGCAAGCGGTTGAGCCAAAGCGACGAGCGCTCACTTCGTCACTCGGGATGGATCAACGGTCGAACCGGAACCATACGCGCAAGAGTGCACCGCGGGCACCATTTCCCATGTTCAATATGTTCTTTTACTCGATGCTGCTCACGTAACTCGCGTTGAAGCCCGCGAATCGTGGCCAGCCCGTGACGTGACATCCGGGACGAGGAGATCCGAAACTACCTCACTTCGCCCTTTACAGATCTTGGTATGTCGGTATTACCCAGGCGGGTTTGCGGGGTTATAGGGGACGGTCCACCTGCCACAGCGGGAGATATAGGCGGTCCAATTAATAGCGGGCAATGCGGCCCGGCGGTGATGGGCAGTCTCCCCAGCCCCTGACCAGTCAGTGCCGGTCTCTGAGTCTTTCCCCAATACCCCCAGTGAAATTGACCAGTCGCTTGCCGCGTAAACTGGGACGGGCCAACGGCATGGCGCTCGCCGCGCCGGCCTCATGCCGGCAAGCAGAGCGTCATTCGGCAGCGGCCTTGCATCGTCTTGATCGTCGAGCGTCCCAATGACTCCCCCAACGGGCCCAGGGACCCCAATGCCGATCCCGCTTCATGCACCCCAGCTTTCTTAGCCAGTGCTAGCGTCATTTATCCCAGGCCGCAGAAAGATTTTCCCACGCTTGCCAGCCACTTAGGCCGTCACGCCACCACGCCCGCGGACGGACTCCGGTATTCAGTCGCTTCAGTGGCACTGACTACTACTGTACCTGACGGCGACAGCCCGAGCTCCCGCCTGTCCACTTCGGGACGATGGTGCCGAGCGCTGCTTGCCCTGATCAGGGTCGCAGTCGATGCGCGGTTGATTCGCAGACGCTCTGCCAGATCTGGGGTGAGATGGGCGGGTGCGGGGCCGAATATCACTGAGAGGATTAAATCTCGGCGCTCGCTGAGGGGAAGCTAAGAACTGGGGTAATGCGGAACGAGCTAGAGAGGGAAGGGTTCTTCTACCCCGAGCGATGGCTTATTATAAGATGGCCGCGGCTTGCCTCCCCAGGACTGGGCCAGCACGGCTCGGACGACATCGGCCAGGGGCAACATCACACCCCCCCTAGTTACACGACGTGGACGATTCCGAATTCCCACCATTAGGTACCACCGGACGACGTCGCCCATCATGACGACGCTCCGCAACTTTGCGCTGCTCGCAGCGGCGGTGCTTGCGCGGGTCGAGGCCCTCGAGGCCGCCGACTGGGCTGCGGCTGAGGCCTCAGCCAAAACCGCACTGGCAAAGATGTCACAACAAGACAAAATCAGCATTGTGACGGGCATCGGCTGGGACAAGGGTCCCTGTGTCGGCAACACGGCCGCCATCAACTCGATCAACTACCCGCAGCTCTGCCTACAGGACGGCCCGCTCGGGATCCGCTTCGGCACCGGCTCGACGGCCTTCACCCCGGGCGTCCAAGCCGCCTCGACATGGGATACCGAGCTGATGCGCCAGCGCGGCGAGTACCTCGGGGCCGAGGCCAAGGGGTGCGGCATCCACGTGTTGCTGGGCCCCGTGGCCGGGGCACTGGGCAAGATCCCGCACGGCGGGCGCAACTGGGAAGGATTCGGGACGGACCCGTACCTGGCGGGCATCGCCATGGCCGAGACGATCGAGGGGCTGCAGTCGGCGGGGGTGCAGGCGTGCGCCAAGCACTACATCGTCAACGAGCAGGAGCTCAACCGCGAGACCATCAGCAGCGACGTCGACGACCGCACCATGCACGAGCTGTACCTGTGGCCCTTCGCCGACGCCGTGCACGCCAACGTGGCCAGCGTCATGTGCAGCTACAACAAGATCAACGGCTCGTGGGGCTGCGAGAACGACCACGCCCAAAACGGCCTGCTCAAGAAGGAGCTCGGCTTCAAGGGTTACGTCGTCAGCGACTGGAACGCGCAGCACACGACCGACGGCGCCGCCAACAACGGCATGGACATGACCATGCCGGGCAGCGACTACAACGGCAACAACGTGCTCTGGGGCCCGCAGCTCAGCAACGCCGTCAACAGCAACCGGGTCTCGCGCGACCGGCTCGACGACATGGCCAAACGCATCCTCACCTCATGGTACCTCCTGGGCCAGAACTCGGGCTACCCCAACATCAACATCAACGCCAACGTGCAGGGCAACCACAAGGAGAACGTGCGGGCGGTGGCGCGCGACGGCATCGTGCTGCTCAAGAACGACGAGGGCGTGCTCCCGCTGAAGAAGCCAGGCAAGGTGGCTCTCGTCGGATCGGCGGCCTCGGTCAACAGCGCGGGCCCCAACGCGTGCGTCGACAAGGGCTGCAACACGGGCGCGCTCGGCATGGGCTGGGGGTCCGGGTCCGTCAACTACCCCTACTTTGTGGCGCCCTACGACGCGCTCAAGACGCGCGCCCAGGCCGACGGCACCACGCTCAGCCTGCACAACTCGGACTCGACCAACGGCGTATCGGGCGTGGTGTCGGGCGCCGACGTGGCCATCGTGGTGATCACGGCGGACTCGGGCGAGGGCTACATCACGGTCGAGGGCCACGCCGGCGACCGCAACCACCTGGACCCGTGGCACGACGGCAACGCGCTGGTTAAGGCGGTGGCCGCGGCCAACAAGAACACCATCGTGGTAGTGCACAGCACAGGGCCCATCATCCTCGAGACCATCCTGGCGACGGAGGGTGTCAAGGCGGTTGTGTGGGCCGGCCTGCCGAGTCAGGAGAACGGCAACGCGCTAGTTGACGTTTTGTACGGCCTGACTTCGCCCTCAGGCAAACTGGTCTACTCCATCGCCAAGCGCCCCGAGGACTATGGCACGGCCCCCTCCAAGGGCAGTAACGACAAGTTCACCGAAGGCCTGTTTGTCGACTACCGGCACTTTGACAACGCCAAGATTGAGCCGCGGTACGAGTTTGGCTTTGGTTTGTGTGAGTATCCCCGACTCCAGCTTCCCCCCCCCTCCCTTTCTCATCAACAGTGCACTAACCCGACCTCCCCACCTCACCAGCCTACACCGAATTCACCTACGCCGACCTCTCCGTCACTTCCACCGTAACGGCCGGCCCCGCCTCAGGCGAGACCATACCCGGCGGCGCGGCCGACCTCTGGGAGACTGTCGCAACGGTCACGGCGTCCATCACGAACAGCGGCGAGGTGGAGGGCGCCGAGGTGGCGCAGCTGTACATCACGCTGCCGTCGGCGGCCCCCTCGACGCCGCCCAAGCAGCTGCGCGGGTTCGCCAAGCTCAAGCTCGAGCCGGGGGCGTCGGGCGTCGCGACCTTCAACCTGCGCCGTCGCGATCTGAGTTATTGGGATGCCGGGCGCGGCCAGTGGGTGGTGCCGGCGGGCGAGTTTACGGTTTCGGTTGGTGCGAGTTCGAGGGATGTGCGCTTGACGGGGAGCTTGACTGCTTAGTGCCCGGGTAGGTGCGGTATCAGGTGCTGTGAGGTTGCGCGATGTCTGTATCTGCAAGTACGCTGTCGTTGACGATCATTCAGATGGTGTTTTGAATAAAATGAAATTTGATGAAGAGCACAAGAGCATTTGATAAAACCAAAAGACAGCCGTGGCTTGATAATAGAATTCGGACGATGGATTGGTTTTGTTGCTGAAGTGTAGAGTTGGTGATGTGTGCAAAATGAGTCAAGGGGAAAGAGATCATTCAATGGATCGTTCTGGATTCCCGACGTGCCCGAGTACCTCTCTGCCTAACCCTAACCCACTCGTTCGATATCCGACGAGAGGGACCCGGGCACTCGGGAGCCTTGTCGGCTTGTTGGTCCCGGGAATGGGACTGCAGGCTGCGGCGGGGTAAGAAGCGAAGAGTTAAAATAAATCATCATCAGGCTGTGTGCCTCATCTCTTTACTCACTTCTCCCAACATTCTCCATTCAGAAGCGGGACAAAAACTACCATGGTCCGAGGCTCAGTTTCCACGTACCGCCTGCGCAGCGACCTCCTCGAGGACTATTTGCGGACTCAGTTCCCAGGCTACAGGTATTTTGATATCCAAGTAAGACCCCTCCGGCACAGCCGATCTTACTCTTCCTCTGGGCGGGTGCTTATGTTCGTGCACAGCTGTCGGTAGACGGCAAGGAGTTCTACACATTCGAGACTCCCAAGGCCTTGACGAGGGTGAGTCAACTTGAGTCTTTGTTGAAACCTTCAGGCTCCAGGTCGCCGTGGGTAGGGCTGATTTTTCATGGGAACCACAGAGCCAAATCGAGTATATCGATGAGTATGTGAGGCTGAATAGCGACGACGCGGACTTCCTTGGGGGTTGATTTCACGGCTCTCGGCTTTCCCCATGTTGGGTTCGGTATTGGCGCCCGTTGGCAGGTGGCGGCCGTCCTTGTGTGGATAGTTAGGTCGAGAATAAATCAGACTGCCGAAATTCAATGCATGTAATTGGCGCGTGATACGGCCCATCATCCGGCATGAGGTGAAATGCTGGCCAAAAGTGCCGGTTACACAGTAATTCCACGCCACAGGAGAGGCCTCTTGGGTGTTTTGGGGGATGTGACCAGCTGGGGCTCCATGGGCAGGCACGCCCGGGCAGGGTGGCTCAGCCATGATCCGCCACTCGTGTCAGGCGGCCCGGTACCGCGCTAGTCGGTTCTGGGCTGTGGTTGGTTGGGCTCAGCGGTTCGCCCGAAATCTGCCTCGGCGGAGGCCAACTTACGGTTCTCAGGAACACGCGTGTTCAGCGTGTGCAACCTTCTGATCACCAGGGGTTTGTCTTTTGTTTATTGACGGAGCCGCACATTCTAAAAAGCTGGCAACGTCACGGCGCCGGTTCCTTGCCCAATTCCCCGCAGTCCTAACCTAATCCAACCGCCAATGAGAATCGTTGCTGCTGGTTCAGCACTCACGAATTTACGAAGCCATCATGACGACCCAAGTTGACAACCATCTTGCGGCAGAGTTCGCTGCGTGCTGTCAGCGCTCAAAGGACTACCCCTTAACCCTTTTGAGGACAGAGGCTTTTGGCCATACCCAGAAATCTTACCAGACACGTCTGAGCCAAGGAGCCGTATTTCACAAATCACACCGGGCACTCTACGTCCGTGATCTTCAGGATGATGCCGTGGCGTTCGATCGAGGGCGGCTGCTCGAGAAGGTGGACGATGTCGAGGCCCATCTTGATCCTGAGGAAAAGGACCCGTGGTGGCGGTTCATGTTAGTCGGCCCGCTGGGTTTTTCTTGAATCTTGCCGCTTGTTTTCGTAGACTTTTCAGAGTGGCTAACCTAGTGCAATGCAATAGCTTCTTACATTCAAAGACCTCAAGAGACCCCCTAGGCTGTTCCAGAGAACAATTCACGATGCTCTTGACCTACCATCAAGTTATGCCATCGTTCCTGGATTTGGTGTTTACCTTCAGGTCCCGTAGCCGGCCACTCAACTACGCCATGTTCCGGCACGAGAATTACCTCGATGAGAACGCCCCATCCCTGCGACTATCGCACTTGGGCAGGTCGGGCATTCAAGTGCAGCACGCCTTCAACCTCCTCACGGTTGAGAAAAGCAACATGGCCGATGAGAAGAATCAATGGCCGCTACGCCACGCATCCATGTATCATTCTCTGGACTTGGAAACCGGTCGCGCCGTCTACATCCTCCTAAAAGGCAACAGCGAGCTCGCGAAGCGCATCAAGGACGCAACCGATACGGATAGACACTTGCGGCCCGATGCCCCGAGGACGCCAGAGCGTTCTTTCGTAGCGAGCCTGCAGGTGCACCTCATCATGCTGGAGTGGGCTGTTGAGTACTGGAGCGAATACATCGACGGCATGGAGGACACGCTCCGGACTCGTTCTGTCGATGCCAAGGTTGCGCCGGTCGAAGGCGTTGCCAGCCCGGTCAGGCTTGCCGAGAGCTTCCAGCGCCGCGGCAGCGGCTTCTCCCGACGCGGTACCATAAGAACGATCTCACGGTTATCCTCCACGAGCCGCGGCAACGGGCAAGACAACCTTCTCGAGGATGTCCCGTCGGAGCCTTCGACCCCTCGCGAACCCCCAACACCGACTCGCATGACTAGCCGAACGCTCTCGGGGTTCCTGCGGCGCGCTACCGGAGGCCTGGAGAGCCCGGTGCCAGAGAAAGCTCCCGTGCCGGAGCGGGACGTCCTGATGGAGAAGCTAACGGAATTGGAGGAGCGGTTCTCCTTCAACGAACTGCAGCGGCTAGGCCTAGTAGGCGACGAGATTGACCGGTCTCTGATGGCGCTCGAACAGAACGAGGATGTGGTTTCCCAGGTCCAAGAGCAGTACCAAACGGTCATCGCCTCGCACGCGTTCACAACGCTATTAAATGGAGACCAATGCAAGGCAGAACTAGCCGTCTTCTTCCGAAGGGTGCGCACCGTCCTTCGCGACCTGGCTGCCCACCGCCGTCGCCTCCTCGATCTTTCCCGCACCGTGGAGAACGACAAAAACATGGTAAGCAGCAGCCGTCGAGCTCCCGTCCCCTCGGTCCCTAACAGGATCATCACAGTTCGAGGCCCTCAGCCAACACACCAGCATTCAAACATCCAAAGCGTTCCAGGTGGTGGCGCAAACATCAAGCGACGAGATGATGAAGTGGACGCATAAGATGCACGAAATCGCCGTCAAGACCAAGCAAGAGACGCTCTCGATGCATGTCATCACCATCTTCACTCTCATCTTCCTACCAGGCACCTTCATCGCAGTAAGCATCCCAGCTCTTCTCTTACTAGTCGTAGTATGCAGCCCCTCCAAGTGAACACCCACTCCTCCCTAGACCCAAGCTAACACCCTCCTCCCACCAGACCTTCTTCAGCAGCGGCGTCCTGCACTGGGACGACGACGGCACGCTCGGAACCGACTGGGTGGTGCGCGGCGCCGGCGTGCGCCTGTTCCTGTCCATCTGCCTGCCCCTGACCGTTATTACCATCGCCATCTGGGCCATCATGTACGCGTTTGCGCGCCGCTGGGCCCGCCGCCATGCCAAGACACTGGGTCTCGACGGTGGCTTCGGCGGGGGTTATGCGGATGAGAAAGGACTGGGTGGGATGGCGTCAATGTCGACGGGGTTGGACAGTGCTTCACAGCAGCAGCAGTCCGCGGTGGTGGTGAACGGGAATGGCAAGGAGAAGTCGGGGTTGGGGTTCTCTTGGACGGGGCCATGAATGTGGGGGGTTTTTAGTGGTTTCTTTTTGGCGCTTTTGAATCAATAATGGCAAGGCGTTTGGGAAAGCGGCACGGAGTCTGGAGTTTGGACAAATACTTGGAGTATAACCATACATCCACTGGTGAATTATACCCAGCCTTGCCAGTACTGTGCCTGATGTCGGTTTCATCTCCTTCAGCTTGTCGTCTTCCTTACTCAGCTTTTGCATTTCAGGGTCGCATTGAAGCATTTTTGTGCAACTCCAAAAGGGCTGAAGGCTCCTTCCGCCTCCCGCGCCGCAGGCCGCAGGCGACCAGCGAATGGGGGTCCTGGCGCTTAACCGACGCCAGGGAGGTCGCGCCCTCCAATCCGGGTTGCCTCCCCCGAACCAACAGTACCAGCGGGTGAGGCTGCTAAAAGACACGCAGATGGCGCTTTTCTTCAAACCATCTCTGTTCTGGGACTGCCATTTCGTTCAATCGGGCATCCTCGGTTCCAATCTTCATCAACATCACCCTCCGTGCACGCCGACCCGCCAGCGACGACGGCGGCGCTACGACATGGGTTTGTCCAGACGAAGCGGGGGTTAACGAACCATACAGCGATTCCATTTTCTAACTGGTCCTCATTCACGTCCAGTCCCGCCAATCCGTCGCGGCTCTGCCATGGCCCTTGGCGTCAACCTGGAGCCGTTCTCGGGGTTCGCCGAGTTCGTCGCCGACACCAAGCCCAAATACACCGGCTGCGATATCGCCGGAAACCCGAGACAGTACATCCCGCTCAGCGAACTTCAAAGGTACTGGACGAGGCCACGCATCTCAAAGGTGCTCCACGCCTTTTCCGAACGCCTCGACATCGACGTCGACTTCATCAGGCGGCAGTACCCTCCGCATCTTCTCCACCCTCGTCTACACCCACCACGACACTCTTTACCTCCTCACCCGCTTGTTCATTAGTCTCAACCTCACCGACGAGAGGTTGCCGTTGCGCCGCCGCCCGAGCGAATGGCCCGACGAGGCCTTCTACCGCGACTTCTTCGCCGGAGTCGTAGAGAACCAGTGGCAGTTCTTCCCGCTGCAGTTCGATGCCGATCAGCTATACGACCGCTTTCTCGACGACAAATGCGTTCTGCCCATAACTCTCGGCGATCAGATTGACCACGGTAGCGCGGCCATCATTTATCGCTTCGACATCCATCCCGAGTATAACCGGATTGGTTTGGTATGCTTCCCCTCCGTCCAAGGACCCCTCGTCTGCTTGATCACAGTGTTAATTGCTTGCCGCCGCCCTCCAGAATAGAAACAAGCGCCTCGTTTCGCAGACATTTGTCTTCAAAATCTACCACAACAAGAAATATGAGGATTTTTACACGAACGAACGCCGTGCGCTACAACGCCTCAGCGTCGCCCCGTCGCCGAACGTAGTCAAGTTCCATGGGTCATTCCGGCAGCTCGGCTCGTACTGTTTGATACTGGAGTATGCGGACGGCGGAGATCTGGGCGAGTTCTTCCGCAAGTGCAGCCCTCCCTCTACGGTTGGGGATGTGGTGCTGTTTTGGAGGAGCCTCTTCCAGGTCTTCTCCGGCCTGGACAGGATCCACCAACTCATGTCGTACAACGATGACGAGCTCATCCGGGGGTAGGTCCCTTCCCCATCTGGTGGTCTGAGACACGTCCAACCATAAAGCAGTACTGACGTTAGTCCACCTGTGTGCAGTATTCACGAAGACATTCGACCGGAAAATATCCTTATCATGAAGGGGCCGTCCGGGTCTCCCTATGACTTTACGCCAAAAGTAGCCGACTTTGGCCTGTATAGTCGCGTCAGAACAGCCAAGGTGAGATCCGGCGGGCCGATGGGGCTCGACCATCAGGGCAATCAACGATTCAGTACGTCCATGCCCCCGGTCTCTGTGAGAAGACGCTGACATCTCACCCAGGCTCACCCGAGTGCTGTCGTCATACTTTCCAACGCAACAAAGGAACAAACATGATCACCACGAAGGCTGACATCTTCTCAATGGGAGCCGTTCTTAGCCACGCTGCCGCTTGGGTAGTGGGCGGGGCCGAGGAACAACTAATCTACTTCCGATTACGCAAGGCCTACCACGAAGAAAACCTCCCCCGGTTCAAGGGCAGCGGATATGAGGGTTGCTTCCATAATAGCATCAAGCCGCTGCCCGTCGTTGAGCAAGAGCACAGGAGGCTCCGAGAGCGCTGCCAGGTCTTGGACGACGTTACCCCCAAAGTGCTCGACTGGGTCGAAGCGTGCATGCTCGTCCAATCTCCGAAGGACCGTCTACTGGCCAGGGACATTGGAGAAACGTTCGAGCAGTTCATGGACAGCCGCTTCCTGGCAACCCCCTGTATGCAACCACCGTCTGGCGCTACCGACTTGACGGTGCAATCTCAACTATGGTCCGAGTTGGGATCTCCGCAATCGACCCTTGACGGTGTGTCGCCGGGCTCGCCTCCCCTACCAGACGCCACTTTTCCGGGTGTCGGTTTGGGACTTGATTGCCCGCCTTCCAAGCCAGGTAACCCGACACGCCCGCATCTGACACGAGATGATCCCGAGCCAATCACCCGCGATGCTCAGCATACCAACCCGGATCGACCGTTGCCCCCCTCATCGTTGCAGCCTCGGCAAGCGGACGCCTCCCAACGCACCTCCTCCAGCGCATCCCCCAAGATCGGCGTCTCACAAATTCACCAATACAAGGCCGCCATGCGCCAAGGGAAGCCGGCCGACCCAGAAACGGCGCAGCTGGTGGACTACCTCGAGCACAACCTCAGCGGGCGGGACCAGTTCTTCTTCATCGACGATTCGTCCAGCATGGCTGCCGACAGGGCGACCATCTCAGACGGGTTCAAGGCGCTGGCCTGCATAGCCAAGCGGTTGGACCCGAACCAGGTGGAGCTGGCATTTGCGTCGCGGCCTCGCAGAGTCTTCCGGGCGCGCCGCATCCGCCGGCTACACGACCTCGTCAACGCCTGTCAGTACCAGGGCGATGGCCACCTCATGGAAGGCCGCCTCGGCGAGCTGATCGACAACGTCATCATTCCACGCCTGCCCTACAAGGTCCTCGGAGTCAACATCAACCCCTGGGCCCGCAAGAAAGTCAGCGTCTACGTCTTCACCGACGGCAACTGGGGACACGCCAACAACAGCGCCGATGCGTGCGGTGTCGAGAGGCCGGTCCGGCGTCTGATTGAAGAGCTCAAGAAGCGAAAGCTTGATCGGACGCAGGTGAGCTTACATTTTGTAAGGTTTGGGCATGCGGAGAATGGGAGGCAGAATCTGGAGCGCCTGGATGATTGTGGCCTGGCTGATGGCTGGTATGTTTTGTGTCCTTCTACGCAAGCTCCTCCAGAGTGTGCTAACCATGGGTGCTCTAGGGATATTGTTGACGTGAAGCATATCAAGACGGAAGTCGTGGGCATGTTTATCGGCCCGTTGACTCGTTCCAACGATGATATCCCGGCTGGCTAGCGGCCAATCGGGACTTGGATGACGGGGGGGCAACGGTGTAGAGGTATTGTTTTGAGCACACACATCATTTGGGCGGCGTCATATACCAGGGGCTTGATTGTTTGTTTTTGAGTGTCAGGGCGTATACAATGGCTGATGTAACTTGCTAAATCCCCTGCGACCTTCTAACTAATATTGGACACGGCCTGCCCAGCGGCACGCCAGCTTTGGATCTTGGTTTCCTCATCATCACCGTGCCTCGAGCGTGCATGTGGTTCCCCACCGCTTCAGGCCGACGTTACATGGGTCCTCACAGCACCCGAGCCTTCAACCAAATCTTCCCATTCAACTTAATCGGGTCTTCATATGCCAGTGTAACCTATACACATCGCCCAAGTCAGACATTATCTTCCGCTTGATCATAAATCACACAACAGGAACACGAACTTGGTCAAAGTCCATCTTGTTTTGTTTTTCTGGATGTGGATGTGATTCGCGTTAGTAATCGCATTAGCGTCCCACTCATGTCTTACTGAACATGCACACAAAAGTAAGGTCGCCGCCGATTTCGCCGACGATCCACGTCACAACACATGATATAAAAACTCGGCGTTGACCCGCGGCTCCCACAAACATCCATCCTCCCTTCCATCAACTCACGTCAATTTCCCTCATAACCCCTCGCATACACCGCACCCACCCACCAGGCGAAGAATGAGGTTCCTCCTCCCCCTCAGCACCTTGCTGCCCGCCCTCAGCTCCGCCACCGCATCCCCACCCCCTCCTCCCAGCGACGACAACACCGCCCCCATCGTCCACGCCAAAAACAACGTCACCTACCACGGCCTGACCCGCAACACCATCGAGGTCTTCCTCGGCATCCCCTACGGCCGCGACACCAGCGGGCCCCACCGCTTCCAGCCCCCGCGCAGACACGTCCCCGCGCCTGGGAGCCGTGTCGACGCCACCGCCTACGGCCCCAGCTGTCCGCAGGCGCTGGGGCGGTGGGCGCCGCCGATCTCGTTGGGGGAGATTGAAGAGGTGTCGGAGGATTGTTTGAGGTTGGATGTGGCGCGGCCGAGGGGGCTGGTGGTGGGTGGGGATGGGGATGGGGATGGGGAGGGGTTGTTGCCGGTGATGGTGTATATTCATGGGGGGAGCTTTTGGGCGGGGAATGCGCATGATCCGACCATTTTGCCGGATGGGTTGGTCAGGGAGGCGGTGGAGAATGGGAGGCCCGTGGTGCATGTTGCGATGAATTATCGGCTTGGGTGTAAGTGGCGGGGTCCTAGTGATTTGTGTTTTCGAGTGGTTGAAACCGAGAATGATGTCGCGGATGGCGGATGCTAACACGGATACAGTCTTCGGGTTCGCACAATCTGACGCCCTCCGGTCTGAAGGTTCGGAAAACGCTGGCCTCAGGGACCAGCGGCTCGCTATCGAGTGGGTTAGAGACGAGATCGCGCAGTTCGGAGGCGATCCGGACAACATCACCATCTTTGGACAGTCATCAGGAGGTCTGTGGTCCTCTCCTGAGCCGCTCCTTAACATTACTAACATCCATGTTTCCAGGCCTCTCCGTTGGCATGCACATCATGGCCTACGGTGGTACTAAACCCGCCCCTTTCCAACAAGCCATTTGCCAGAGCCAAGCCCTGGAACCTGGAATCACCGGCACCTACACCATCGATGCCATGAAGGCGGTGGTTGACCATGTCGGCTGTGATGGAGCCGCCCTTCACTCAGAAGAGACCATCGCTTGCCTGCGGGAGCTTGACACGCAAACTCTTCTCAACGCCAGCTTGACGACGTACCGCTCTGACCTCAACATCGGAGATATCTGGCTCCCTGTTGTCGACGACGACTTCCTCCCAGCCGCCCCTTCGACGCTAATCCGGGAGGGACGCTTTGCCAACGTAACCACCATGCTCGGCTGGTGCGACGACGACCTCACCTTCTTCACCGACTCCAGCATCCAAACCGCCGATGAGACCCGCGAATTCATATCCGCCTACATCCCCGGCGTAGCCAGCACCAACCTCGACACCCTCCTCTCCTTCTACCCCCTCTCCGACTTCACCGCGCAGTCCACTCCCACCCTCTCCCCCGAATTCTTCCGCGCCGCCCGCATCTTCCGCGACATCCTCATGGTGTGCGAGCCCATCTGGTACGGGGAGCACCTCGCGCGCGCCGGCAACGCCGTCTACCTATACGACTGGAACCAGACGGTTCTCGAGCCCCTCCTCGAGCACGCCACCAACCAGAGCGGCTGGGGCCCCATCCACACGGCCGAGTTCGCCTACATCTTCTCCAACTTCACGCAGTACGACTCGCCCGACTACCCCTTCCACCCGACCGCCGCCGATTATAGCCTCGCTAAGCGCGGGTCGCGCTCGTGGTCCACGTTTGCGGCTACGGGGAAGCCGGGGTTGAAGGGACATGATACTTTCTGGGGGTTCCGGCCGGCGTTTTCGAAGGGGGGTGACGGGTTTTCTGTGTTTGTGGCGGGCGGGCCGTCGGAGGGGCTGTCGGCTGTTGATGGGCGGGGCGCGAAGGAGGCGGTGCGGGCGCAGAAGTTGAGGGAGCGTTGCGCGTTTATCAACTCGGATGAGATGATTGAGCAGTTGGGGTATTAGGGGCTGGCATTTGTGAGCTTGTGTTGTGGTGGGCGATTAGTGGTTTGCTAAACCTGCGGCGTTGAGAAAGACATCGATCAGTTTTACGGGCTTCGAGGCCCTCACCCGATCGTCGCGAACTGTTTAAATTGCCGTAATCGCGAGAAGAAACAGGTAGGGTCACCGTTATCGCCCAGTTTCCTCGCGCTGCTAATGGTGCGAACAGAAAGTCGCGTCAATATCCAGAATCTCTACCGTAGGCGCGATCACCCGCGGGGAAGGTCCCACCCCTCCTGCGCCTGCGCGCCGACGAAATCTCACGCATAAGGTTCTTGCCGAGCGATACCATGCAGGTGGCCGTATTGCCACCGATACGCCTGAAATGGCTGCTGCCCGCAACGAGATTTCGGCTATTCAGCGACGACATCGCCTTGAGCGACGCCATGGCAAAGAACCTTCCCAGACCCCCACGATGAGCGGTCTCCTTCGCCAAAAACAGCCCGCGGATGATGATAATATCCTCCCGCCCTCTGCCGCGCAGAGGGAAGTGACGTCTAGTGCAGTTAGCCAAACGCGGGAATCGGCCCCCTCTCTACAAGAGCAAGCTGCGGATGATAACAATATAGAGGATGCTGAGGATAATCTGCTATCCGTGGCACCACAGCTCCCGCGCCGCGGGCCGATGCTTCCCCAAAGCCGATCAGCGCCATCGCCGTCTTCGCCTCAATCCCATGGTCGTCCCCGCGGCCGCCCGCGGCTGGCAAGCAACCCAGTTGGCCGCCCTCGCAAGCAACGCCCCCCGCCCGAGGTCATCATGGTGGCCTTCGACGACTACGACGGCCCCGCCTTCACGATGCCGAACGGGGAGCCGCTCCGCAGTGGGAGAAGCTGGTTGTTCCCATCCTCCGAGTGCGGCAGGACTTCATGGTCGGCGCCAACTCATGTTCAAGAGAGCAGTTCCCGCTGTTGGTCAGCTATGCGATCACCGTCCACAAGTCACAGGGCATCACTCTCGACGAGGTTGTCTGCGATATCTCTGCGCCGGAGTTCGCTTCTGATCTCCCCTACGTGGCCGTTTCCACGGTGAAGACACTGGGTGGGCTAATGTTTGAGAAGCCCTTCGACCGCAACAGGATCTATCGCGAGACACCATCACGAGCTATGGGGTCGAAATTGTCCGATCACGCTATCAGGCAACTGCAGGCGTTGGATGCTGTGGCGGGGAAGGATCTTTCAGAGGAGTCAATAGGTATATAAGTAGCGACGACGAGAGTGTAGATGCATCAGCGCTTGGAACGATAATAGAAATGATTGGTATAGGTGGGATAAGAAGCTCGAGTGAATGGAGTTGTTGGCCGACGGACAGATATTGGCGCTTCGTCTCCCGTATTCAACCCTAACCCGGATTGTCCTCCGGAGAGGGACAGGAAAATTGCCAGGAGCGGGAGAGAGGAAGGAAGCGCCCCGTAGCGTAGCGAAGGGCCGCGCGACTGACGAACGAAGCGACGCCAGCAATTTTAACCTACAAATTCTAGTTCTCTTCTTGCTGCTGTGGTGACGCCTCTGTCAAGGTATGCGCAACCTGAGAGGCCCTTGGAAGGAGACCCGCAGGACCGGCTTGAATGCGCACACGACTTTGCAGAATCATGTACAATCAAGCCTTTAGATCATCTCCTGTGCATGTATCCCCTCTGCGCTCACAAAATGGCCCTCTTGTGTGAATGTCACATGAAGTACGCATAAATACCTATTCTATTCCAGCAAATTGAAGCACCAAGGCACCCCACCTACCGCAACAGAGTTCGGCTTGGAATTTGCATGGAAGGAGCCGTGGACAATCCCGCCCTCCCGTGGAACTCCTCTAGCACCTCGGGACATTCCTCGAAATGCGCAGGGGGTTCCCAAGTATTGTGCTTGTTCCTATACGCTGCCCACTTGACGAGATACTCCTGCCCCTCTTCTCCCTGTCGCCGATCCCGAATATCCTCGACCTTAAAATACTCGTCGACTCGAGTCTCCTCAGTCGTGGAGGCAACTCTTGAGGGCAAGTCGAGCCTCGTTAACGCGCTCATGGGCCTCGAGCCCGGCGACCCGCGGGGCGCAAAGGGGGGCGAGGCCGAGACCACCACGAAGCCGGCCGCGTTCCCCGACCAGAGGCACCCGGGCGTCGTTTGGCACGACATACCCGGCGGCGGCACGGCGCGATACTACAACAACCACCTGTACGCGTACGACAAGATCCTGCTGGTGCACTCGGCCACGCTCAGCGAAGTCAGTGCCCCCTCCCCCCCCTTTTCTTCGCTTCGCTGGCCGCCCCCCTCCACCCAAAACAGCTCGACATCCGCGTCCTGCAGTTCTGCACCTATCTCGACAAGCCGTGCGTCTTGGTGCGGACCAAGGCGGACTCGCACATCCGCAACTGCCGGCGGCGTAACCCGCAGCACGACAGCGTGGCGGCGGCGCGGGCCGACTAAGTGCAGCAGGTGCGCGATGACACGGCGGCGGTCGCGGAGGTTGTCCTGGCTTGCAGCGTGAATGCTTCGGATTGTGGAGAGCGGTAAGGGAGAGAAAATGGGATAGGGAAGCCCAGCCTTCACGAAGAGGATGGCAGCGGCGAGCTCAACAACGGTGGCGCGGCAGTCAACAACAGTTGGGCATCACGTTTTATTGCACGTGAGTGGCTATGGGGACGACATGTTGAGATTGGGGGCCAGGTTTTGGCCTTGCGCCAAAACGACAACTCTTCACTGCGTGGTGGGCTGGTCTTAATTTTCGTCACAAATCGCACCCCCGACACTATATCAGGCCGATCCAGCATGGCAACTCCAAGCAAGACACCAGGTCTCTGCCCGGATTGGGTGCTGACGAGCGGCTCCAACGTACACTGGGTTCCGATTCGCAGCGAAGGCCACACGGGAATCATAGGGTAACCGGCGAGGACATGAGGATGCTGACGCTCCCCTTTCTTCCAGTGTCGCGCGTGACCATGCGTGGTTTTCCACGTACACGCCGTTCCCGACCTTCGTGACCTCATATACGGCAACAAGCACGCATGAAGCTCTCGGCATTGGCGACATTCACCTCCCAGTCAAACTGTTCCCGAAGCGCTCTGGCCCCAGAGCTCACAGCACGCTTCATCTGCGGAACGTCCTCCACATACCTACCTCCATCTGTAACATTATCGGCAATCCGAGTACTGGCGATTATGCCAATATGGTGTTCAAGCTTGGAACGACGGTAGTGATGCGGCGATTACCGTAGAGGACGGTCGACGTGTCGGATACTTTGTTATTCGCCACCTCTAGGTTCTCAAGCTCAGTGGGCCTCCTATCGGCCCTGTTGTAGGCCCTTCCATGTTCGAGCCGGGGACGAAGTATATGGTCACCACTTTCTGGCCTGACTCGGAGCGCCAGAGATGGGCCGCAGCACAGGCTAGTTGCTTGTGTTTAGATCACGGTACCAATGGGGAGGTGTCGGATGACGGCAAGGGAAAGGGCAAGGCTGAAGCTACTCCGTCGGCGCCGTACACGGAAGAGGAAAGGGGCTGGCTGAAGCGGGAGTGGGGAGGTGAATTCATGTTTCTCACCGCCCACGGACTGAGCATTTACAAGGAGGGAGGCCGTGACGAGGGCAGAAGGATGGCAAGGGCGGCGATGGAGGCGGACGAAGATGGGAACACAAATATGTAGACAGAAGGCGTACTCGGATTACACACCGGGCCATCGAACCGGGTTCCTAGCCGATCTACCTATGGCATTTCTCGCAAGATCTTACTCTTGGTTGCAATAGGAAGATTGCGGGACGGTTAGTCTGTTGCAGACGGTTGGCTCCTGTTGCCGAGGATGAGATCATTCATCCGCGCAGATCCAGTCCGCGAGGGCGAGCCCAAGGTCGAGCGGCGCTTCCCCGCCGGCATGCCCCCGCCCGTCGACGAGCACGACTGCTCCGTCGTGGTGCTAGCAGCGCGCCAGCTCTACAAGACCGCCGATCAGATGCTGGCTGATCTCGAGGCTATTCGTCCAAGTTCCTCGGCGAAAGGCTACCTCAAGCTAAGGATCCCTCGAGGAAATGGCTTTCATGGACCGTTGCGACGGCTCACTGCCGGCCACTGCTCTGGAAGTGTTTGACTATTCGTCGGCATCCGGTTCGACTGGAAGAAAGAGATGGCGATGGCGATGGCGGATCGACCGGAGACGCCGCCGTCAGAATGTACATGTTCCCTCCCAACTTAGTTTGAGACAGCGGAGTTCGGCTGTCGTGACCAGGATGGGTAGTGTAGGACGGGCAGAACGGGTAAAACGAGATTTCATACGATGCAAGCCTTGAATCAGTGGTATATTGGCGACAACCTGTCTCCACCCTGATGGGTTTCCAGTGCCTGGTACTCTGTCGCGGGCGTGGCCGCCGCGGCCGATACCTATGGTCGAGAGCCTACGGGATAACAAGCGCAGCAAAAGGTGGCACAAGATCATCTTCCACCGAAACCTGCTCTCCATCGATGCCGATGAACGGCTGGTAGAAGTCGCATGTCCCCAGCCTACATACGTAGTGTAACCCCCTGGGAACCATCCTCTCCCGACCCGCCACCTGGCTCTTGCTCGAAGCGCCGCAGTGGCATGGCGGGTTGTTCGGATCGTTGCCTCGGTCGTCTGAAAAGACAAGAAACCGGCGGCAACGCAGGCATTTGTAATAAGGACGGCCTGCGTTCCCGTTGCGATTCGACTGTCGTGTGATAAACCGCCTGCTGGGCCCTTGGCACCTGTGGCAAGTTGGCGGTTGCTCGGGAAACGGGGCGGGATTGGACAAGGATGCCTAATTCTGAGTGAGCGTTGTCTTTGATAAGAACATGAGTTTAGTTACCATCTTGAAGACGGATCAGTGTTGTCACAATCCACAAAAGTTCGGCACCGTTCCCAGAAGTAGAAATTGCTCCTTGACTAGCCCCAAGAGGTAGACGTCAGTAAAACAGATACCATTCCAGTGGATTAATGCGGCTCACGCGGTAATGATTAAGTGTAGGAAACTGTTGGCAGCGTGGAGTGTAAGGACGGGTCTGTTGGCCAGACCTGTCATTAGATGCGCGGGTGGGATACATCAATATATAGAGCCCTCATTGCGTCTTGTGGCATCGGTGTGTCACGTCCGTTTGCTTCTGCAGTTCCCGGTTACTTGTAGCCCAGAGCTGCCAGTAAACAGCAGGCTTCGCTCACAAGGAGAGGGTGGCTGTGAGAACCCGTTATCTAGCCGTTGGGTGTTTGCCAAACTTGGAATCTCGGCGTGTACCCCGGCGGAGCCATGCGGGCTGCTGCGAAGAGGCGGGGGTGGCATCCCTGCTCACCTGAGCAGCTGGAGCGGGAGCAGCAGAGAGGCTTGCTCCTGATACGTTTGAGGATGAGAACGAAGCTGACGTGCGTACGCGCTACCAGTCCGAGACCCCGTTCCTCCATGTCTCCGGGCACCGGAGCGAATATGCTACACGCCCAACGGCCAAACCCACAACCCCTTGCAGCGGTGGCGGCGGCGGCGTCGTCATCGTCGTCAACGAAGCCATAACACCAACCTTGGAAAAGAACGACGCCCAAAGCCTCCAAGTCAGCCCCCTGGCCAACATCAACGAGCCATCCAACGAAGAGCCTTCCCCCAACCTCTCCCGCCGCCACCACCACCGCTAACAACACCAACACCGCCACCATCAACAACACGAGCAGCAGCCCCACCGCTGCCACCACCCCGGTGACCCTATTCCTGTTGGCTCATCACTTCCCCTCCAAATCCTTGGCGACACGGCCCCAGAGCACACGGCCAACTTACATCAGCAGACGTTGGTTGATTGGTCGAGAGGCTGTCACTTAACACAGCTCGCGCCCAAACGTGACGTGCTGTGTCAGCCCCGCGTTGGTTGGTTGCCGGCATGGAGGCGCGGGGCGCGTGGACGGGGGTTGGAGAGGAGGGGGAGTGGCTCAGCACCGTGGCTGATGGCTGGACCCGGCATGGCATGTCTTCGGGACTGTCGCGTCTTTTCTCAACATCGAACCCGAAGGAGCAACCGCAAACATCACAGGCCTATCGCAAGATCGATCGCACATCACATGAAGCACATGAATCTCTGCTCCGTTCACAAGCAATGATAAACCACCCCAACTATCAAATTCAGCCCAAATCTATATACAAGGGGGAGGCAGTCCCTTCTCTTGGTGAAACTGCTCTAGGATCTCAAGACACTGCTCGAAATGCGCAGCAGGTTCCCAAGTATTGTGCCTGTGCCCATACCCTGCCCACTTGACCAAGTACTCCGGCCCATCTTCTCCCTCTCGCCACTCCAAAATCTCCTCGACGTTAAAATACTCGTCGCCTTGAACCTTCTCAGCTGTGGAAGCAACCCGTGAAGAGAGGGTGCGCACCGTCGAAGAGATCGCCCCTGCTGGTGCCTTGCGCCGCGGGTTTTCTGGTGCGCGTTCATGTCGTCCATGATTCGTACAAGGATTCCACATGAACTCCACCTGAAACGTCGCTGCCCCGCCCACCCAAACGCGCTTGAGGACCGCTTCGAGTGGCCATTCCTCAAAGCTTGCAAAAGCGGCCGCGGGCGTCTCCTCTTCCAGAGCGGACGCCCCTGAAGATTGCGGGTTGGAAACTTTGCGCTGGCTTTGGCGGCGCTCTGGACCTTGTTGAGCCTGTTGCGATGGGGAGTTAGGGCAAAGAAGTGCCTGCCTCTTGGGCGCTGTGTTTTACCTTGCGGCGCTTCCCTCGTGGCGGCTGGATGACATCCCCATCCTTGCCTCGCTTGGCGTAACTTCCCGCAATCGGAGAGCATTCCTCGTCGTCGTCAGCATCGTAACGCCGCCGCCGACGACGACAGTTGCTTTGCTGAAGGCCGGTCCGCTCTCCGTCGGGCCGTTCGGTGCTTGCTCGCCCTCGTTGCTCTTGTGACGCAGCTCAACAATCTTCCCCGGGGGGGGGGGGGGGGGGGGGGCGGCTATCCTCATCCTGTTCTCTGTCGTCCGGAATGAGAGGATGACGTTCTCCATCACTCGCCAGATCGCTGTCGTCATGGTGTTCACGATGTTGAGAGAGGCCGCAGCTGCCAGAGCTTTGCTGTGGATCAACCCCACG